CGTGGGCCTCAAAGGGCTCATGGGGTTCATAGGGCTTATCCGGCTTAGGGCTCTTAGGGCTCGTAGGGTCCATAGGGCTCGTACGCCATAGGGCTCATAGGGCTCATGGGTCTCGTATGTCTCAAGGAGGGTCATGGGGGTCAGTGGGCCTACAGGGCTCATCGGGCTCGCAAGGTTCATAAGGCTCATCGGGCTCATAGGGTGCATGGGGCTCATAGGGCTCATAGTGCTCATGTGGCTCATAAGGCCCATAGGGTTCATGGTGCTCATAGGGCTCGTAGGGCTCATGAGGCTCGTAAAACTCTCAGGGCTCATAGGGCTCATCAGGGACATCGGGCCCATAGGGCTCACAGTGCCCCTAGGTCTCATAGGGCTAGTACAGAATAGGGCTCACAGGGGGTCATAGGGCTCATGGGGCCCATAGGGCTCACTGGTCTCATAGGGCTCTTAGGGCCGGCTCGTAATAGGGCGCATCGGGCTCATAGGGCTCGTAGGGCTCATAGGGCTCAGTGGGCCCTTAGGGCTGATGGGGCTCGTAGGGCTCGCAGGGATTGTAAGGCTCATGGGGTTCACGGGTTCGCGGGGCTCACGCGGTCTCATTCCGCCGCGCCCACTGGACGTGCGGGAGCAAAGACACCAGTGACGCTGGAAGAGACGGGGGGCATTTTGGCACCGACGCGCAGGAAACGATCACGCGCGGGCGGTGGCGAGAGAGCCACTACGGGAGGTGTGCGCTGGAACAGGCCAACGGCTAGTACAGCTGTTGACGGGGGTCTCGTCGTCGCCTGCGTCTCACTTCCTCGCCGGGCGCTTCTTGACAGTGTTCGTCTTGGCCGCGGTCTTCTGGGGCTTGTGGTCGAAAGCGGCGTGGGTCTGGACTCCGATTGCCTGGCCGGGGCCGACGGTGGTCATGGCAATGACGGAGGGGTGTTGCTGCGCGTAGGTGGCGAGGGCCTGCGCCTCATCTTTGTGCAGGTTCGAAGCCATTTTGAGCTGCACGTTCACCAGCTCCGTGATCGTAAAGGGCGCGTTCTGGAGCGTTGTTCCGGACCTGGTCACGCGGATTCTGTTGTTCAAAATCTCTGCCTCCGCCTTCCAAGCGGACTTCTGGTCCATGGCGGGGACGTTGATCCGTGCTTTCAGGAACGCCTGGTCCAAGATCTGCATCGTGTGGTCTGCGATGTGCTTCTGTGCCGCCACGGCACTCTGCGCACCAGTGCCGTAAACCGTCCTTGTGGAAGCCCAGGAGATGCCGTGGTATGGGTTGCTAGGTGATCCCGGCGGCTTAAGCCCGGTCGTCACTTCCACCACGTTGCTTGGGGCACCAGCCAGTTTCATGGTGTCTGTGGACCTCTGGGCGAGCGTGGAGAGGCCGTGGTTGTATCCTGGAGCCCCCGCTTTTGCACTAGCAGAATCTGCGATCACTAGACGTGCTCCGGCGTCGGCGTTCACGCGGCTCGCTACATCGATGGGCTCGACGCTGACCAAGAGGGTGTATAGGGATGCGCGCTTGCCCTCGGAAGTCGAAGGGGTGCTTGCGGCGGTGTCAGGAAAGTGTTCACCCAGTTCAAGTGGTGCATTGCGTGGTCGAATGTATGCACCCCGAGCTCTTCCGCCCCATCGGCGGTGCCAGGCAGGTACGTCAGAATCGTATCCCAGTCCTGTGAGCTCCATTCGACGTCAGTTTCCCGAGCGGCGACAGCATCGAGAAAGCGCAAGTGGTGTCCGCGTGCGTAGCGGCACTTGTCGTGCAGCAGCGGCAGAGTGCGTTTGTCTGTGCTGAGCGTGTTGTCGAGGGCGCAAGGACGACGGTCGTGCGCTGGCATGGTAGCCAAAGCGGCAGCGTGGTCCATGATGTGCCGGAGTCCTGTCGCGGACTGCAGAAGAGACTGCATGGCAACCCGCCCGCCCACCGGCCGGGCGGTGTCCCAGCGCGTGTCCCCGACTGGGAAAGAATCAAGGGATGCTGCGGCAGTCAACGCTGTGCTCTGTGCAGGGGTAAGGTTCGTTGTGGCTAGCTGGCGCAGGAAGGTGCAGACCGGCGCGCGGCGAGGGACGATGTGCAACAGTGTGAGCGAGAAGATTTGATCTGCTGTGTTAGTGATGCCGATCCAATCCAGGTTGTCTTTGACGAAGAAGAGTGTCTCAACGTCTGCGCGCTCGCGCATTCGCGACCAAATCGGTCTCGCGCTGGCGGCGTCTCGGAGCAACGCAGTCGCAAACTCCTGGAACGCTGGTTCTGGCAACCACGGCGGCGCCGCAACGGGCTGGGGGTCAGCCGCCGGTGCCTCCGCAGCTGTTGCGGGATCGGCCGCTTCCGCCAGTTCTGGTGCAGCAGGTCCGTCGGCAACGACCACGTCTGCTGGGGCATGCTGCTCGTGGGAGTGCGCTTCGAGCTCACGGATGCGAGCGAGCGCGCAGCAGTTGCGCGCTGGGGGCGGCGGCGGCGACCAGTAGCCGACCAGCCGCTGGATCAGGTCGCCTCGCGCGCCCGCTTTGGGCAGGCCATGGTGTCCACACGTGGCGGAGAGGACTTGCCAGGAGGACGTGAATATTGCATCATCGATGGGGTCGAGAGGCTCGGCCAGGCTAGCTCGGCGCTGCCTTTTGGCCATGAGTTGGCTTGAGCACAGGAGCTACTGGTCATGGAGAAGAGGTAAGGTCTTTTGGGACGTGGGGGCCATTGGTGCACAGGGCCGCCTTAGAGCCACCTTGGGCCTCAGTGTAGATATCATGGGCCGTTGTGGAAAGAAGGAATGGTTGAGAATAGTGCGGCGGAGAGGTGGAGTCGCGTTGCCAACGGGGGTGGGCTGACAGTAGTCAAAAGTCGGAGGGGAAGAGCAGGAGGAGGTGGAGGTGAAGAGAAGTGCAGAGAGGAAGACGAGCCAGAGGAAGCAGGAGAGGGGAGGGCAGAGCAGAAGGTGGGAGGAGGCAGGGAAGAAAGGTGGACGTGGAGGAGAGTCACAGGTGGGGAGGGAAGGTGAAGGTGGAGGTGACTCACAGGAGGACGCACTGGTGGAGGGAAGGTGGAGGTGCAGGGGAAAGTGCCGTCGTCGATGAAACGTACCTCCACATCGAGGTCGCGGGTTGCGATGGCAACCAGGGCTGCCTGTGGGGCGTTGAGGGCCGTCTTGGGAAATCTCTGGCGATTCTTGGGCCGTCTTGGGCGTCGTGGAAGCCCAGAGCACGAATGAGGTAGAAGCCTCTCTATTTCCGAACGGCGTTAATGATTGTAGCTTTCTGGGGCCGCCTGGGAGACCATTGGGTCCGCTCTTAAGCCGTTTGTTTTTTTGTTTGGTGGTCCCTTGTTTTTTGGGAGGGCCACTCGGGAGCTTGAGACCTGTTGGGGGCTTGTGGGGAGAGCCTGGGGACTCTCGGGGGCCTCTTGGGGCGTCGTCTTCCTCCTTTTGGGATTCTGTTGGGGCTGTCGTGGGGCCTCCTGGGCTCGTCCTGGGCGCCTCTTGGGCCGTCTTGAGGCTGTCTTGGGGCGTCCTGGGGCTGTCGTTGGGACTTCTTGTGCCTCCTCTGGGCGGTTTCGGGGGTGACTGGTGCCGTCATGGAGCGTCAGGAAGCCGAGAAAGCGAAAACGGCAAAATCCTTTAAAAACCATAGGAAATTAAAGAATATTGCCTCTCCGAGGCTTCTTGGGGCGCCTCTCTGAGGTCTCTTGGGACCTCTTGGGAGCCTCTTGGCCCGTCTGTGGTCCCTCTGTGAACGCTCTTGGGCCGTCCTGGAGCGGTCTTGGGCCGTCTCGGGTCTCCTTGGGACCGTCCGGGAAGCGTTCGTAGACCGGGCCGAGCGGCGTAGGGTGGCCTGGAGGGGATCCGAATCCGAACATTTGACTTTCTCGTCCGGGGGGGCGAATTTATGTACGGGGTGGGGGTAGGGGGGGGGTCCTTATCAGAATATTCGAGAAGGAATGTGTATATATATATATATATATATATGTGTGTGTGAGAGAGAGAGAGAGAGAGAGAGAGAGAGAGAGAGCGAGAGATAGAGAGAGAGAGAGAAGGAGAGGCATACATTATACCCAATGAGCCCTGGGGTTGGGCGAGGGTCCAGGTGGTGGGTTTGGTAGACAAAGTAGCCTCCCTGGGGCGTGGTTTTATATTCGTATACTAAGCGCGGCCCCGGGCGATGGAATCTGCTTGAGGCGGGAAGGATGAGGCACTCCAACAACATTCGAGTAATGGATGCCCTCCCCGATAAGATGCGTTGGACCGGCCGACACCATTTTCCTCGGCGTGAGCCGACTTTGTCACTGAGCACCAACTAGAGGGAGCAACCCATGCCAGCACTCGTCTTGAGGATCATCGAGCGACTCACGCCCACGAGATCTGGCTACGTACGTACTCGTAAGAGTGACCCTTCGCTGGAGGCCCACAAGGGGCCCCCCACCACTGGGCCTGCGCGCAGAGATCCGACGCCCCCGCGGGGCCCGGAAAGCCGCACCAAAGGTCAAGCCCTGCCCAGGGGCGATCTTGCGTGTCGGCGAGAGATCCGGGCGCCGCACGTCTTGTCGCACCGCGCCGGGGCCCTCTCGGGCCCGCACGCGTCACTCGAGAGTTAGGGCCCCAATTTCTCGGAGCTGAGGGTGCAGGACACAGGGCAGCCAGAGCGTCGTGTCGGGCACGGCTGCGGCAGCAGCGGGCGGTCGTTGGCAGCGGTCGCGGCAGGGACGTGCTCAGAAGCAAGGGCGCGGTGACCCCAGACCCCCTCGAGTCACGAAAACATCACGGCTGAAGATTCTTGGCAGTTTTCGGCTTCTGGGGGCCCTTACGGGACCTCGGGGCAGTCAAAAACGATTCACGATGAAAGACCAGTCCTGGGGAATGGGTCGGGACTTGTGGGGGTCGACGTTATACAAAAGTCATGACGTCGGGGGTCTTGGATTGGGGCGGCAGCGGCGGTGACAGACGACAGGGAGCAGCGAAAGTTGACAGCAAGCGAGGGGGTCAGCGGCTGCGCAGCGAGCCGGCGCGCGCGCGCGTGCAGAGGACGAGCTGCGGTTGCGTTGGGAGGCTCACGAGGTCGCCGCGCCACTGGAGCAGCGTGCCCGTGAGGAGGTGGACGCCATCCCACAGCACTCCGCCGCAGCCGCCCCTGGACGCCCCCCGCGGATCTGCACCCTTGGAACCTCACGTCACCAACTCCTCCGCCAGACCGCCTCCTCTCCTCTCCTGCCGCTGCTTGTGTCCCTGCCCCTGCCCCTCATTACTGCCCCTGCTGTGCTCTTCCCCTCCCTTCCTTTCTCCCCACCCTCTTCCTCCTCATCCTTATCCTCCTCCTCCAACTCCCTCCTCCTCCTTCTCCTCCTCCGCCTCCGCCTCCTCCTCCTCCGCCTGTGAACTCGTCGAAGCACTCGAAGTATCCGAACCCCTCCGAATCGAAGTCCGAATCTCTGCCAACTTCTCCTCAGACGCCGTGCCTCACACTGCTCTGCATGCGAGGGGTGGTGATGGTAACCTTTCAGGGCAGTGGAGAGGCCTCTCGAGCTCAAATGGCAATGGTCATGCGTGCCGTAAAGTCCTGCTGCTTGCTATGTGCTGCCACTGGGCCTCGAGGGGGCCTCTAGAGGGAAAGTATCTAACAACATTCGGTCAGAACCCTCAGAACATACATTGTATGGAGTGCAATTCTCACTGGTGAAAAAGGGAATGACAACTCGTATAAACTCTCACCTTGATCACTCGAACATCTGCACAACAGATAGCAGACCATCACAAATAAATCAAGCAACACAACTGCGCTCAAGAGAACTGCGCCGCACACCGTGTCGCAAGAAAACGTCTGCTGAAATAAATAGCTTCATTGCGAGGGAGGGGGGAAGGAAAAGAAACGAAACTGGAACAGGATGCAAATCATGAATTGCCGGGGCGCCTTCACTCACTGTGCACTGTGCGGCTTCTGTTGCACTGTATGCAGCTCGCGGGTAATCTCCCAGCCTCGTCGAAACCCGTTCGTCACATGCTTGTACTGTCCGTACTGTCCATCCGGTAGACCAACACTCGTGTAGTGGACTGGGCCTTGGCAGCCGACGTCCCACTTGATGGCACTCAGCTTGATCTTCTCTCCTTCTGGACCTTGGTCTGTTCCCACTCCTTCTCTGGCTTGGGCTCTTGCGGGTCCTGGACCTTCGTCTCCTTCTGCAAACCCTTGCAGATCACGTAGCATATGAAAGCCACGAGCACCAATAACATCATGATGCTGAAGGCTCCTTGCACCAGCGTGCTCAGCGGTATCTTGATCACTATCCGCGGGCTCTTGGTCCACTCGAACTCCACTAGGGCCGTCTCGATCTCACTGTCATAGATTTTCACCTCGCTGGCTGCGGCTGACCTCGGCAGAGACGCCATGGTCGCCATCGCTGCTGTCGCAATCGTTTTCGATCTTGACGTGGCAAACCTCTTGGCCCCCTCCTGTCGGTCCTATGCCGTCTTCTTCTTCGCCGCCTGGAACTTCTCATCGAACTTCAGGCTGATCGTTCCCGTCCTGAGTCGATCGGCCAGTAGCTGTCTGGCTGCCAGCTTGGTGAAGCCGTCTGCGAACTGTTTCTCTGAGCTGACCCAATACCAGCCCGTAGCACTCGCCGTCATGCGCTCCTTCAGCACTTGCACCTCGATACCCGTCCGCTTGTCATCGAAGTTGTGCACGTGTGGCTTCTGAGCTGCGTCGTAGAGAGCCTTGGCGTCCACCACGAGCGCACTCCTTCCCAGCACAGTCATCGTGCCGTTCAGCCTCGGGTCGCGAGTCGGGTCGAGCATCAGGCTGAAGTGAACCTTCACATACTCGAGCGCGTCCACGCCTCCCGCTGCAGCTTGGGCCTCACTCGCTAACGATGACCTGCTCACCCTCGGTAGCTTCCATGAGCGCCAGTCGACCACCACGTACCCGATGGTCTCGCCGACCAGCATACTCCTGTGCGCCGCTAGGATGAGGTATCCTCCTTACGAGCTTCCATCACGTCTAACTGCCCACGCTGCGTCCGTCATGCAAGTGAACGTCATTTTGTCCGGGTCGTCGCATATATTGGGAAACATTTGGCACACGTCGCTATTCGCTTTGGCAAACTTCAGCGTCTTGTTGGCCTCAACCAGATCCTTCACGGTCGAGCCCTCATTGCTCGTCCCTTGTCCCAAGTTGACGCTGCACTGTAGATGGAGTGCCGCCTGGTTGCTGGGCCACGCCAAGCTTCCCATCAATCCTCGTAGCTGTCGACGCTCGCCCTCGGTGTTTGGCAACTTGTGGTCGTTCGTTCGGTTCTTGGCCAAGGTGATGGGCTTGAGCGACTTGATGTAGGCTGCACAACTCATGTGATAATCTCCGTTCGTCGTTTTGGTGAGTTGGTTGCCACAGAAATCAACAGAAGCGTCACCTGCGATGTTCAGGGTGCCAGTGTTCGTGTCTTCCCACGTCCTGAAATTGAAAATCTTCTTGAGCTCCTTCACGCGCGCCGAGAGACATGCCTGGCCCTCCTGACTGCTGCCGCCTTCGAGCATATCGTCAACATGTAGCCCGATGGCGCCGTCGAACACCTTGGTGTCGGTCGCGTCCAGGCAGTAGCTCAGGAAAAGGCAGGGGTCCAGCGTGTGAACCACGAAACCACACGCAATCATGCGGTCGGTAGCTTCCTCCCACCAAAGTCTCGGTGCGTCGCTCAGCCCGTACATACATACTCTTGACTAGCTTCATCCTCTGGTCCGGCTGGTAGCCAAGCATCCTGCACGCTTCCGCCGGTAAAAGTACAGAAATCCCACGATCCGAACGCTTGCCCTGCAGAAGCGCGGTGTTGACGTCAGCGGTGAACAGGGTCCAACCGTGAATGCGGCCGAGCATCACGATGAAGGTTCTGCTCAATCTCGTCATAGTCGGTGAGGATTTGGCCAGCTTCCCTGCAATCGCGTCTGGATCTCGGAACCCTTGGATAACCAACTTGGCCTTGGCCCTGTTGCTTCCGTCGGCGTTCCTCGACCACTTCAGTAGGAACCTCGCGCGCAGCACCTTGTTGGGGTCGCTGACCTCATTCTTGTCCTGCTCCCAAACCTGGTTGTCGAAGAAGCTCTGCAGCTCCGCGCGCTTCGCCTCCGCGAACTTGGCCGTGTCCTCCGCGTTCATATTCTTCTCGCTCAGCTCGCCAGCCAAGTAGCACTTTTCGTAGTCTAGGAAGAACGCCTGGTCCTCTGCGTTATAGCTCCAGCCTTTGGGTAGCGCGTCCAGGCTCAGGAACAGAACGTCCTCTTGGATCTCCGCTTTGTCGTAGGGTCCTGTCCGGTTGTCTCGCCGACCTCGATGCGCCGCGAACGTCCGCATTGGAGCCATCTCCGATGCATCGATTTTCGTCCTCATCTCCTTGAATCTCGCCGCTGGTTCAACGATCACTGGCTGGGCCGGCGTCGCCGTCTGTATTGCTGGAACCTCTGTTGCATCTGGTATTTGCTCTTGAGCTGGCTGTTGCTCTAACTCCGAATCATCATCATCCGGTATCGCCGTGTCGTCCGCCGTCGGTGGTGGGTCCTCGTTGCCTGCTGGCCTCGGCTCGGCCTGCGGCTCGGAACCCTGGGCAGGTACCTGCCTGGGCTGGCCATCCATGGCCTGCTCCACCGTCGGTGCACCTCCAGCTGTAGCAGCTGGCTCGTCCTTCTCCATCGGCTCGTCTGCTCGGTCCTCGTTGGTGGGTCCGGGCAACTGGCTGATATCGAAGAATTGCACGATACTTCCGCGTCGGAGTCCCTGTAGAGTGGTCTGCGCTGCCTGTAGGTTCGCTGGTCGCCGAGGCTCGCCAATCCGCTCCACGAAGGGTCTGATCTGATCTGGGCTGCATCGCAGTAGGCTCCCGCCGTGCGTGACCCAGTCGACCCTGGGCTGGCCGCTCTCCGCGTCCTCACGTAGAGCCACGGTGGCCGGCCCTCTCCAGCGTGATTTTTGAAGCCTGCTAGGTCCACGACCACGCCAGTAGTAGCACTCGTCACCCACGCTCACTGCCTCATGGATGTCACGTCTCTTGCGCAAGAATGCTCTGCGCAGCCTCTCCGTCGAATCCGCCTTGATGAATGCCATCGCCGCTGCCGCTCGCCGCTGCATCGCCTCTTGTAACGTCTCCTCCTCCAGGTAGGCCTCTGCCGCTGGCACGGACAGCGTGTCTGCGGACAGGGAGTCATTGAGCTCCGGGTTGTAGCCCAGAACCCACTGCGCCAGACTGAAACCTTTCACCTCCTCTCTCGCATCCGCCGTCGTCAGCATCCGCACGAAAACCTCCTTGCTGGGGTGTCCCAGGTTCTTGTGGAGACGCTCCACATACCTGAACACATTCTGGCCGAACTCGCTCCTCGGCTGTCTGTTCTGGTACGTCTCCTTCGCCTCATTACTGCTGTCGTCCCCACCGTCGCATGGTAGATATACTCCACCGCGTCCTCGCCTTCTTCGATGCCCAGGACCAGGATGTCCGTGTCCTGAATGTAGGGTTGCTCCAACAAATCGCTGAGGATCTGCGCCAACAGGGGCCATAGTTCTCGGAGAAGCTCGTGCGGTGCAAGTTGGTACCAGGAATCTTGCCCTCCAGGTGGACATGCTCATGCTGTTTGTCGCACTGGTACTGATAGGGTCCTTCTGCCAGTCCTCGTCGTGTAGTGCGAACTCCAGTACTCTTGCGAGCTAGGCCTTCCCCTGGAATCTCCAAACCCGTCATACACTGGTCGAAAAGCACATGGTGTCCAAGCAGCTCGTAGGATGCCTTCGTCCTCCAGCTGCGTGCTGTCGCTGGCTGCTCCAGGTGCGCATCTCGACCTCCGTGCCACTGCTTGAGCTAGACCTGCTGACAGAACATCAGGTGCGCCTTGTGGTTGTCCGAGCGCCGCTGCTGCAACTTCTCTTTGTCCTCGTCGGTCTTGCAGCCTCGCTCCTGCATCATCGACCAGAGCTTGCACTCAGGACTCAGCCATGTATCGTCCGGCTGCTCCTCGTCGATCAGGGCGAGGAACTTCTTTTGGGTCATGGGCTTGCTGAAATCCCAGCCTGTGTGTACTCCGAACGTCCTGGCCTGATGTCTGCGTCTCCTCAGCTCCGTCGTCAACTACGACTTGCCGCCGTAGACCTTCCATATCTTGCGCTTGCCCTTTTGAACGTCATTCGCCTGCTGCAAATCCTGCTTCAGATCCTTTGTGGCTGACTCGAGGGACTCTTGGCACTTGCGCAGCTGCTTCACGCTGAGGTCCTTGGCGACGTAGTTGCCGTCATTCGTCTTCGCGTCGACCTCGTAGTTGGTCTTGACCATGGTGCCGCTGAGGTTCACAGGCTCCTCATACGTTAGCACCTCGTCGCCCAAGAACGTGTAGGGATTGATAGGATGCTGCACTCGAACATGATCCAGCATGTTCTGTGGTAGTAGGGTCTGGTCGGCGCGCTCCTTCATACATGTATCGAAACTCTCCAGCATATTGATAATGAAAAGTCCGCGCTGGGGCTGCTGGCGTAACCGAAACCATTTGCCATCTCCGTCCCAGCATGCCCTCTTATTCTTGAAATCAACGACCATACCGAGCTCCTCCATCACAGGTCTGGCGACCATAAATGGCGTGTGGCCTGGAATCACGTACGTGAGGATCTCCACGAATCTGCCTCCAGGGAACGATGGTACAATTGCGCACGCCGTCGCCTCGCCGGTCGAATCGCTGCCGTATCTGAAATGCTTCGAGCACGGGAAAAACTACATCCTGCTGACTGGAAATCCTTTGGCGACCAGCTGCTTGCAATAGCCCTTCAAGGTCTCGTGTCCCACAATCACGCTGGTCGCACCGCTGTCGTGTATCCCCTCCGATGGATCGATCTCTGTCGAGTTGTGAGTGTCATCCGCTGTGTCTGTGACCATCCTCGCCTCTGCCGTGTCGTCGCCAACGTTCTGCCTTTTCTTGCTGGCGTGTGGGCAGTCCCTGGCAAAGTGTCCTCGACCACCGCATCATGTCGTCTCTTCCGTCGCGCTCGGTATATGGTGTACAGGTGGCCCTCGAACAGCTCCACCGTTTCCGTAATTGCCCGCCTTGCCACGTCCCTTCGTTGATCATCCTGTCGCTCTCCCTCTTGAGGCACCTCGGGCCGCGCCGCGACCTTTGGCGGCGCCCGCAGCTCGAGGGATGATGGGGGCCGTGCTTCTCGTCGGTGGCGGTACCATAGCTACGACAGGGCAGAAACCTCTGGCCAATCTCATGTCATTCATCTTATGCCTTGCGTCCGTGTATGCTGCTATGATCTCGTCGTACTGTTCCACATCGTATGTTTGGTCCGGCATGGGGTTGGTGATCGTCGCTCTGTCGCTGTAGTAGGCTGCTTCTGCATCGAAGCTGAGGCCAGCTTCTTGGTGGTCCTCGCCGTCGTCCCCGTAGTAGGCATACTCGTCCTCGTCTCAATAGTAGACGTCCTCCTGGTAGTCGTCGACCTCCTCGTAATCGTCCACGTTGTAGGCTGCTGCTCCCGAGCTTGCTCGATGACTTGGCACCGAGTCCAGGCCGAACGTCTTCTTCATCTCGCCTTCGACCTTGTCTAGTGAGAGGTTGTCGCCGACTTGGTTCATGATGAGCTGCTTGCCTTCTTTGTCCAGCCCGGCCCTGCGTAGAAGAAACCAACCCTGCACCTTGTCTGGGAGAGACACATCGTGTGAGCGCAGCTTGCGCTCTGACGTCCGAAACCTGCCAAGTAGTCCATCAGCGTCTCTTTGGGCTTGCGGGCGGCCTTGAAGAAGAAATTCTCGAAAATTCGTCGGGAGCTCCGTAGTCTGGTCATACCTGTAGGCTTTGCCCCACAGGCCTTGCATGATCTCGAGTCCTACCGCCTTCTCTTGCTGCTTGCTCCGGGCTCTCGCGGCGTAGATCTCCACCTTTCTCCTGAACGTCTCGTACCCGTCGATAGAGCCGTCGAACTCTGGGGCACGTCCGATGAATAGGCCGTCTTCTGTTCGTCCTGATCCCGATGTCGCTGCTAGCCGTTTTCCCCCACTGCCAGATGGTGGTCCCATGGGTGTGTCGTCGTCCGTGGAGCCGTAGCTCCGCTACCAATGTGAACTCGTCGAAGCACTCGAAGTCTCCGAACCCCTCCGAATCGAAGTCCGAATCTCTGCCAACTTCTCCTCACACACCGTGCCTCACACTGCTCTGCATGCGAGGGGTGGTTTGGGTAACCTTTTAGGTCAGTCGAGAGGCCTCTCGAGCTCGAACGGCAATGGTCATGCGTGCCGTGAAGTCCTGCTGCTTGCTATGTGCTGCCACTGGGCCTCAAGGGGGCCTCTAGAGGGAAAGCATCTAACAATATTCGGTCAGAACCCTCAAATTATCCAGTGTACGGAGTGCAATTCACAACGCCTCCTCCTCCTCCTCCTCCTCCTTCTCCTTCTCTTTCTCCTCCTCCTCCTCCTGCTTGACGTTGAGCGGACTTCAATCGGCGATTGCAGCGTTTGTCCTCCGCCTCTTCCTCCTCATCCTCCTCATCCTCCTCATCCTTCTCCTCCTCTTCCCCCTCGCCCGCCCCCTTTATCCTCGTCCCTCTACTCCCCCTCCTCGTCCTCCTCCTCCTCCTCCTCGTCCTCGTACGTCGTCGTCGTCGTCGTCGTCCTCCTCGCATCCCTCCTTCAGGCGGGGCTCGAGGCTCCGCGCTCCCCGGTAGGCCCGGCCTGGGTGCGCCGCATGGCTTCAATCCGGGGGGGGGATCGAGGGAGGATCAGGAAGAAAAGGACCCTAAAATCAGGATGTTCCAACCTACTTTAGCCTTGATCACCAGAAAGAAGTTCGAGCACCGCGACAGTACCGAAACTATGGGGTTTTCACGTGTCGGGCCCTGGGAGGCGATACTCGCTTGACACTTCGCTAGCGTGCCAGGCATACACTATTTCGATACTTTCGTGGGTGCTCGAAATTGGTTTTGGGATGTTGTCCTCAAGTACGACGGGAGAATAACCCCAATGGGACCCTTCTTATGACACATCTTGGAGCCAGCATGGGCCCAAAAGGCAGAGCTGGGATGACTATTTCGGAGAAGCGGCCGTGGTGCGTCTTGTCGGGGCTCTGGATCGGTATTTTCCAACCGGGCACTCTGGATGGGGTATTCATCAAGGGGAGGGGGATTGACCTTCTGACGGAGATTGCCCATCCCCTGCCCCTTCCTCCTCTTCCCCCCCTCCTCCCTCCTCTTCTTTCCCCAAACGCCCCCTTCCACCCCTTCGACACCACGTTCCCACCCCCCACCCCCCGCGGATCCCAGGGGAGGGGCGGGGGGGGGGGGGGCGATTTCTGTTCCATCCAGAGTACACAGGGACGAGGACCAACAGCAAATGTTGCCCATCTTGAGCAGGGCTCGCTGTCGGTGTCGCCGCGGTCGGTGCCCGTCTGTGTGGACAGTATTTGCTGTCAGGTATCGCACCCGTTTTTGTCGGTACCCACGTCGGGCGTGCTGATTGGTGGCCTGAGCTCACGTCCTGTTTCTGTCGAAGGCGGAAATACGGCATAAGCATGAACTTCCGGAGGTCCGCGCGGATTTGGCGCCAGACCCCTCCCCCGGCGCAGAGCGCGCCAGAGGCGGCGCCTCAGGCGCCGGCAGGGGTGTCCAGCGCCGATCGAGGAAATCCGCGGGAAGCTCTGAAAGTCGATGCTGAGGGAGTCCTCCTCGTCGTCCTCGTCCTGGTCCTCTCCTCGTCGTCGTCGTCGTCCCACTCGTCGTCCCACTCGTCGTCCCACTCGTCGTCCTACTCGTCGTCCTACTCGCCGTCCTCGTCGTCGTCATCGCCGTCATCATTGTCGTATATGCAGTCTTTTCATTTTGTTATTCTGGCTCTGCCTTCGGTCCCCCTCCCCTCCGCGGGGGAGGGATCAAAGGGAAGGGCTTCCCTCCGACTCGATTACGAGGTTACCCGATTTCCCTTTGGCTGGAACGCTCGAGGAGGAGGGCCCAGGGAAAGGGGGGCAGCGGCGACGACGACGAAGACTCAAACGGAAACGCCTCCGGTAGAGGGAAACAATCAGTGGACACCCCCCCCTCCTCCCGAACTTCAAAGTTGGCACGCGCGGAGGAGACTGCGGTCGAAGTGCAACTCATCAGACCCACCGCCAATTTTGAAATTTGGGGGGAGGGGGAGGCGTTGACCGATGAATGTGGCACGAGAGTTCGCTCTAGTTGTGCGAGGCCTGTCTCAGACACGCCGACGGGGGCGGCGGCTTCGGTTTCCTGGCCCACCCCCCCTCTCTCCATCCCCCCTCTCCCCGTCGATGGGCTGCTGGGCGCCTCGTTCGACGGTGAGCTGGCCCCGCCGGGCCTGGCGCCGTCGCCGCTCACCTACCGCTTCGGCGCGGGGCCCGCAGGCGCCCGGGGAGGGTGCCGCGGAGGTCACGTGGCTGCCAGGCATCGCTCCTCCTCCCTCCCCCCCCCGTGCTTCCGCCCCCCCCCTCCTCCCTTCCTCAGTTCTCCTGCCCCCCCGTTCCGCCTTCCTTGATTCTCCTGCCCTCCTCAATTATCCTGCCCTGTGCCGTGTGGGATTCGCAGGAGGCCACATGCGAATCCTACCCCACCACCCCACGATTTCTACGGGGGGAGGTCCCGAACGGAGTGAACCCCACCTCCCCTCTTAGAAATCGTGGGGTGGTGGGGTAGGGTTCGCATGTGGCCTCCTATTCGGCTGGCCCGTCGCCCAGGCAGACTCGAGCAAGAAAAAATTGCATCAGCATAAACTGTCGACGGTCCGCGCGGATTTCTCGGATCGGCGCTCGACGCCCCCGGGCGGCGCTTCTCGCGCCTCCATTGGCGCGCCCCGCGCGCCAGGGAGGGGGGTCCAGCGCAGATCCAAGAAATCCGCGCAGGCTGTCAAAAGTTGACGCGTGCGCCGTCATTTTCTCCACGTCGAACCTTCGCTGTGGTGACTCCCTCCGTCCGCTAGAGGAACGAAGGCGGCCCGCGGCGGACCCTCGTGCGCAAGCCGCCCGCCGTGAGGTCGCGCGCAATGGTCGCGACTCCTCCGCGCGGTCTGCCCACGCGAGGCGGCCTGCGGAGGCCGCCGCGCGGGGTCGCTATGCTTGTCATTGCGCATCGGCGGCCGCGATGAAGTCCCCGCGCCGATCTCCTCGCGGGGGAAGCGGGGAGCAGGGGCGACGTTAGGGGGGGATACGCAGGCTCCGGGAGGGGGGGGGTGCATCGACCCCCAGTCGCACACTCATCCGGACAGCCAAACCCCGCCCATATTCGGGGGCCTGTTTCTGACCCATCGGCGATGTATATCGTTGATTCAGGCTCGATGCTTGTCTCCCCCCTGAGCTGGTTCCCCCGCCGCCCCCAAGCGAGGGGGGGGTCGGCCTTCTGAGAGGGCGGAGGGTCTTCTCGGCAGCCCTCCCCCCTTCGAGTTCCCTGAGATCCTGGCGGGCGTTCCATCATTTGTCACATTGGGCTTTCTGCCTGGTTTCGTGCCCCAGGGCCTTCGCAGATCGATCCGGCTCGAGAAGTGCTTCAGAGAGCCGGGGTCTCGGGTTCCAGTCGTTTTTGTTGGCGAACTGTATTTCTTAGCGACCTCGAATCTCAGGGTTCTGCCTCCTCTCAAGCACCGCCCCAGCCTCTCTCTGCGGCGCACCCCCAAGCGCACTTGCTCTCCGTCGCTCGGAAGACGCCGAGACCAAAACGATGCCCTGGCGCCAGCAGCCCCAAGAGGCTCTCAGCTGCCGCCGGCTGTGCTGAAGCAGCGGCGCTCCATGGGGTGGGCGAGCGAGGACCAGGGGGGCACCAGAACATGCGTTCCCTTGTCGTCGTGGTCGTCTCATCCTTCCTTCTCCTCCTCCTCCTCCTCCTCCTCCTCCTCCTCCTCCTCCTCCTCCTCCTCCTCCTCCTCCTCCTCCTGCTCCCCTCCTCATATCCCTCCTCCTCCGCCTCCTCCGCCTCCACGTCCTCCTCCCACTCCTTCTGCTTCCTCTTTGTCCTCCAGATCCTACTCCTCATCCCTCCTCTACCACCTCCCAAACCTCCTCCTCCACCTCCCCCTCCTCCCTCTCCCACCCTTCTCGTTCTCCCTCCTCCTCCTGCTCCTCCTCCTCCTCCTCCTCCTCCTCCTCCTCCTCCTCCTCCCCCCTCCTTCTCCTGCTTCCCCTCCCACTCCTCATGTTCCCTCCCATACGACTACGCCAGTGATCCCATTTCCATTCCATTTCCCCACGTTCTCTCCTCATTCAATTTCCCCCTTCCTCTCCCTCTTCCTCCTCCTCCTCCTCCTCCTCCTCCTCCTCCTCCCGTCTCCTGCCCTTGCAGCTGTCACGTCGAGGGATGCGCCCGTGGTCGGCTGACAACCTCTCGAACAGCACAGCTGCCACCCGCAGTTGACCAGAGGGAATCTCCGGACGCGGGAGGCAGAGCTGAGCACCCGACTCCGGCTCTCAGAGTTTGCGGTCGGGAGCTTTGGCTTAGCGTGTCGCGCCGCCAGTTCTGGCCCGCCACGCCTCGGCGCGACGCGCTGTCGACGTCCCCATCCCTGGTCGTCAGCGTCCTGAGCCTTTGCCGGTCTCCCGCCGAGGGGAATGGAGAGGCACGCTGTACCAGCTTGCAGGGCACAGCGTGTCGCTGGGGCCGCCACCACGACACATTGAGCAGCAGTTCCTGACCATATGGTACTCCAAATGTTCCTAATAAAAGGGAGGGTGACACAACCTCCTCAGACGGGCATTTGTAGACCCCCCCAAACAAGCCATGAAAGGACAGCCTTTTGCCCAGACCCCCCTGGAACCCTCCGAGACAGCTCCAAGCAGACACCCCCCCAATTGTGACCCCCCCCGACCGTATTGTGAAATCAGGAGTAGGTTCAGGCGGCGTTGGCGCGCAGGCGAAGGCGTCCAAGGTTGAGTTCTGTGGCGCAGAAGACCCAGCGTACATGGCAACGCCATTGGACCCGACGGAATTCAATCTTGAAGGATCGGGGCCGCGATCATCGATTCAAGTTTGAACGATCGACGCGGTGTCAATTGTTTTGCGCGCGCCGACGCCGCACGAACTTAGCAGAAGCACCCGATTGGATTCTCATAATTTCACACAAACCTTCCACGTCGGGATGATTCAATCAAAACGATTGATTCAAACGAATGTTTGGGACACATAGTCTGATCGCCGTCTGTGTGAGATCATGTTGGAAATCGCCATCGCCCTTGTCGAAAAGAGGTGCAAGGAGTCCTGATGCTCACCATTCTCTGGATGCTGCCTCCAGAGTACCCGCAATAGGTTTTTCGCGATGGCGATGAATTTGCCTTCGCAAGATGAATGTTCGCAGTTCCGATTGGGAGACGTGTCGTGGATTGGGTAGGTAGTATGTACTTCGTCCGGGCGGGTGACGGAAATTTCCACGTTGTCGAAGGATGCGTGAATGAAAGGATATGTGGATGAGCGCATCCAGTAAATTCACAACCACGGTGTCTCCATCGATTAAGCAGTCCCCCGAATAGTCGAAAACGAGTTGCTCCTTGCACAACACGGGTCGCCCCGACAACTCAAGCGCGACACCATGATGATATCGTCGACGCAAAGTCCATGGTAACACACATCCTTTCCGCTTTCTGCACCACTGCACGGCCACTGTACTCCTCGCACCTACGCTTTCGCCAGAGGTAGAGGAGTACGGGCACACCACCAATGGGAGCGCTCCACGGCGATGCCGCACGAATAGGTGTCTCAGGCGGCACGTCTTCATTGCCATTACTGATTTGCAAACCGTTGATATGGTATATAGGCAAGAAAGGACACGTGAACAAGCCTGTTTGTCAAGCCGATTGTTCCATTGAGTTTTACACGACATCTGCCGGGATTCCGCCACACACCGAGGAAGTGTTGCATTTTGTTGGTCCTTGTGCAACGCGTCGTGAGTCGCAAGATCTCCAGGGTAATGCACCGGATCGTCTAGCAACTTGCGTTCCCGTTCCTCCATGTGTGTGGTCGCCGATTGATTGCGCAGCTGTGCGATGCCATCCAGGACTTCGATTCAGGCGGTACGCATGGAATCAGAAACGGGGAGGCGCGCAAAGTAGCGGAAACAAATGCGCACGGCGTAGTTGCAAGCGGCACCACAAATCGCATGCATGAATTGCGTGGTTGTGGCATACGAGTCGGCGCCATCCGCTCACAATTTTCCAGTTGGTTGTTTTTACAGTACCAGAGGCATAAGAATGTGGCAATGTCATCAATCACGCTCGTGTTGCGTGCAAGCATGAAGGGAGCGCCGAATCGCACAGACGCCGATACTCATGCGAAACTACTACTCGCAATGTCTGGGTAATCTCATAGTGACCGGGTGACGTCGTACGTTGATGAAGCAATTTTGCGGTTGCGCCGCTCATGGACTAGCACAACAGAGTAGACGGGTCTTTCAGTTGCAGCGCGTAAGACCCCATCGTGTTCGACATATACGTATGGGTTTCGCCCTCTGCCGCTTGCCCCATCTGTATAATGGCGGGCGATGTCAGGGCTATGCCGTGACGCGTCGGCGTTGTTTTGAACATTTCTGGGAACATCAAGCGAGGACGATTGGCATTCAGCAAGCACCTTGAGATGATGGAGTTGTCGTCGAACGTTTCGTTTCCTTCTCAGAGCTCGAAGCTTACGTAATCTACCAGAGAATCCGGCCTCGGGAGTGCGAATCTGGTGGAATGTACAAAACCATTCTGGCCTCGGAAGCACAATTCTGGCGTAAGTGACGAAAGATTCTGGCCTCGGGAGCACGAATTTGGCGTGGTGTATTCGGGATTATTGTTTCGGGAGCGCGAAGCCGGAGTCATTTACAAAGTATGTTGATGTCGGGATCGCGAATCTTGGTGAATGTATAATGGACTCTGGCTCTTGAAGCACGAATTCGGCGTAATTTGAGCAGTTTGGGTTTCGGGAGCGCGACCTGGTGTAATTTACGAGGGGTTGTGGCCTCGGGAACGAGAATCCAGCACAGTAGTTTACGAGCGGCTATTGCCTCGGCAGCGCGATTGCAGCGTAATGTATGAAGGATTATGGCCTCGGGGAAGCGAATCTGGTATGATTTACGAAGGATTCTTGCCTCTGGGGCGCGAATCTCATATATTTTTAAATGTCCCAGGACCTGGGCTAATGAGCGAAGCCCGGTGTGTGTCCTAGCTGCGCCCAGATGCACGAGGTGAGCCAGGGGAAACACGCTCAATGACCAGGAGCATTGAGCCCCTGTCGGAACCACAGTGAGTAATGTTTTTCTTGTGTGTTGTGACACGTTGTAGGGTCACCGTATACAAATCTTACAGGTTAGTCTCGTGGACCAATCGTTGCAATAATCGTGTGCTCGAACGCTCAGACTAAGTGTGCAGGATAACACGTAGACGAGCATTTGTCAACACCATTTGGGCCAAGATCGTACACCAGCTTGGCGCAAGCATGCTTGCTGCACGAAAGTCCAGCCCGCCTTCTAGGCTGGACGTGAGAATCTCCGGTGCCACCATGTTGGCAGGTTTGGCTTCTCGCGCGCCGGTTCGATGCACCTCACGTTGGAGGCGGCTAAGAGAGGGGTGATGACTAACGGGATAGCATGGCCAGGGCCACGATCGATTCCATGACGCCCCTTCTTGTTTCAATAAGCCCCCTGGTCCCCCCCTCTTCCGCGCACATGCCTCGGACCATGACTTGCGAACCCCGCTCTTGGACGCCCACTCTTGGTAACACCCCATCACACGAATGAAGGGTCGTCAGTGCATCTGGCGCCCAGGCCGTTTCTCCTGCACACGTTTGTCGCATATCCCGCGCGCGTGAGCCCGCCACGGCCGAGGCCCGGAGCTCTGTTCGGGTATGGCCAGGACCCCCGGTAAGGGGACCCGGTTAGTGGTAGGGCCCCGGAGTTTTCGAATTGGCCAGAATCACTAAACCAGGTCTGCCATAGCTGGTGTTTTTCGGGTGACGGCAGTTCCGGTTGGTGGAAATGGGACGGGGGGGGCGCCTCCGGTACAGATCACGAAACCAGGTTCCACTAAATCATCTTGGTGTAGGCGTGTTCCCAGTTGGACATGGCAGACGCCACTGTTCCATGAGTCGCCCCCTTATGGGCAGTTCTCATCGTCATGCACAGCCGTGCTCTAGAGCCCAGAGATGTTCGCCATCACAGTCGCCATCACAGTCGTCACAGAGCGTCGCCTTTGCCGGCCTCCCCCCCTGCCCGCTTCCCTGGCCACCTGCAGGCCCTTCGCTCCGTGGCTCACGCCCGCCCCCCCAAGCATGAGGCCTCCGACGTCCCGACCCTTTCCAGTCCATCGCGCCTCGCGGGCCCCCTCCGGCAGACTGGAAGGCGCCTAGATGCGCTGGATCTGAGGGGAGTTGCCGCGCCCCGCCGAACTTGAGGAGTTGCTTTTTGTTCGTCTTAGCAGTCGTTACAAGTTCCCGTCGCCACTGTCTGCCTCCCGGCACACGACCCCGCCCCCTAAACCACCCTCGGTGGTCCCTGGCCCACCATAAATTTAGAGCACACGACTCGCGCGTGGTGGCCAGGCTCATTTTCGGATACCCCCTCGCGCAGACAGTAACAGTTTATAGTAGGAAGCAGAAAGTATTATCAGAACAGTGGAAAGTGGAATTGAAGCAGGGTGCAGGAAGCCTCAGCATCGCAGCCTGATGGCCCCACAGGGGGGCCGGCGAATTGAAGCGCGCGATGGGCAAGCAATGTTTTGACCGAAGTGTGTATGGCAGATGCGCTTGGAAACCGTGCATTCCCAAGATGCGTTCGTTGAACGTTGCCAGCGACCCCAATCGACCGCGACCACCTTGCCGCCGATGCACGAAATCGTTATTGGATACCTTTCGTTCAGTGAATCGCGAGGCTGTTTGTTTGCAGTGTGAGTCATGTCAAATCCGTGCAAGCGCTCGAATGGTGGAGAGCTTCGTCGGGAGATACTCGACTACGAGTCAACAGTATCAAACTGCTTCAATTTGGCATCAGCAGTGCTTAATGTGTTGTGCCATGCCATCTGTGTCCATAGTCTGAAGAACTGTTTGTGAATTGTCGCAGTAAGGACACACAGTAAGGGAAGTGGTCCATACTGTGCCACCTTGCCTCATGCACACATGCAGGACTGGGTGATACCATGTCCTCGCGAAGGGACGGATAATCTATTATATTGTTTGTTTCACGAATGCAGTCTCGTATTTTTGATCCGGCGAGGGGTTGCGTAAAGAATGGCATCAATGTCAAACAATTATGTTTAAGAATTGTTTGTACATCAGTTGTTGCTTCAGAGTATGTCCCAGTCAGGATCAGTGTCAAGTGCTTCTAGCCATCGTGCTAGCAAAACTTCTAATGCTTTGCCATAGATCTAGAGCGGCCCCACGAGTCCATAAGGCCCAATAGTGTCGCACAATCTGCTAAAGGACACGCGTATGATTTTGGCAATGCGGCCTCTTCCTTCCAAGGCTGCCCCGATAAGCAGGTTCGCGTGGTGGAGTTGTTCAAGGCAATCTGTTTTTGAGTGGTATGGCGTGCTCATGGTCGTCAGAAAGTCGATGTAGCACTACGGGCTTGTTGCCGAACCCTTTCACACGTTGACGTCGACTAGCAGTCTTGGTAGCACAGCTCATCCTGGTAAGACTCTGCAAGGCTGGCTGTTCGTGCACAGCCATGATGGCATGCGGCTCCACGTATGTGATGTAGGCCGTCTCTGTGAGCGCTTCGCGGTCGGATTGGACTTCCTGGCAGATAATGAGCAAAGAGAGCACGCACGTGCGCGATGAATGCGACTCGATGTATTTCGATGTTGGGTTGCTTGGAAGACCTGCGTCCAAACAAACAAATCCATATTTGTCCATCGCTATCATTTTCTGATTCGCTTGATTGTTTATTTAGAACAAAAATCACCCCTGGGCGAGCAAGGCCACGACTATCGCTCGCACGGATGTTCCTTGCAAGCATTCCTCATCTTTTTCTGAAGAGTGGGGGCATGAGGAAGGGATGACGAGGAGGCATAAGAAAGACAATCCCGAACCAAATGCATAAGTATTCGTGAGCAATCGATATTTTGGTCAAATGCAGGCGATGATCCTCCCAAAAAGGCGCTGGCTTCGTGTTGAAAGATGACCAAACGTTGAGGCTTCAATGCTGTTTTTTTTCTCCTTCCACTCCACCCCGATCCCCCCCCTCTCCATCTGCTTCTCTCCCTCCCTCCCCTCCCCTCTCCAGCATTCCCTTCCCTCTCCTCTCCCTCCCCTCTCCCCACCCACCCTTCCCTTCGCTTCCACCCTGCCCCCCTGCCATCAGACCCTCTCCTCTCTTCCTCCCCCTCCCCTCCCACAATCCCTTTCCCCTCCCTCTCCCGCCCGCCGACCCCTTTCCGTTCCTTCCCCCTCCCCCTTGTTGGTTTCATTGCCCCCACCTGCCCACCGAAGAAGAGATCGTCTTGCAGGCGCTCCCACGGCCATGCCTTACTCCCGGACGTCTGTGGGCACCCGTTGCGTTGGAGTCCCGGGGGGCGCCCTGGAGAAAGCCCACGGTCGACCGAACAGCGTGCCCTGAGGCAGTTTGCAGCAAGCCTTCTCAATCTGAGTATGAGTTGGGCGTATCTCTTTGTTTCCCTGCTCCCTTCTGCACCGACTGCGCCGATCCGCAAGATTCCCCAATGTTGCCACAGTGCATCTTGTCGCCATCGAGGCCAGCGCGAGATCGAAGATGGCCAGCGGGAGCCGCAAAGGGAGCGAGAATGGGGGGGCGGCGGGATCTGGGGCAGGACCAGCGCCTCGCTCCGTTTAGCCGCAGGCGCCCTGTGCAATGTGAACCCAGCCCCCGCTTCGGCTCTCAATTCAAATTTTGAAAATCCCAATCGGTGTACGGATCCCAAAATGAGCCAACCGCAGAAAAAAAACGATCGGGCTTGCAACCAAGACGACCCGACAGTTTTACCGGCTAACCCAGAAATGGCCGAGTTGCGTGGGATTGTTGCAACCAACATGTTTTCGGGTTTTGCCCGGCAGACCGCAGCAGAAAACAGAAAATTTTGGTGGGCGGATTTCTTGTTCTGCCCCTGGTGGTCCGGACCGCGGGCCAGATTTGTCAGCGATCGCGCCCAAGCGCGGTTTCTGCCCAGGTCTGCGAGGTTCGTGTACGACCTTATTGCAGAGATTTTGCAGTCATGCGGCCGCGCTGCATCCGCGTGGACCCGTGCATCGCAAAACGGAATTAATTGTCGCATCTTCGACGTATCTTGTTATCTTGTTTCCTTTTCTGCTGTTCTCTTGTCTCTTAGCGGCAGCAGCTCCCTACCAGCCTCCACGCATCGTCCTTCTCGTGAGTGATCGTGTTGAGATTGTAGTTCATCCACTGCGGCAGCGCCAGCGCCAGCGTCGAGAATGAATCCCAGAGCCAGTGGTTGTTGCGAGGATGTCGTCTGCGTGAACGCCTTTTGCGACATCCCCGCCGTCGGCATCAAGGCGGAGGAAGTGGTGGTCCCATTCTCAGCTGCCACCCTGTACACGCTCCTCGCTTGCAAAGTTAGGGAGGAGCTGGAAGAAAAGCTCCCCGACGTCGTTAAACCAGAAGCATATAGTCGTCGTGTCTCCGATATTTGTCATGTCTCCAATGCTTATTGTTCTGATATCATCTGATACATTCGTGGCCTGATAGTAGTCTGATTGAGCATGTGTGTGGCCTCATTGGAGCCATGGATGTTTCACCTGTTCTTGAAGGGGTACTCGACAACATTCTTGACAATTCGCGTATCCCCACCAGCCTATCCAGAAACGAACAACATGCGAGGTGCATTGACCAGGGAAGAGTCGGATCATGAACTAGAAGAGCCGCCTTGAAGGATTTGCAGAAAACCGAGTCAATCCAGCAATGATGTTCAGGCGTGTTGCCATGATCAAGGAAGTGTGACGGCATGCAGTGAAACAACCGCATTGGAAGCGTGGCGGGAGCGCAGAAAGAGGGAGGGAAAACATGTTGAATGTGTTGCCACATGTTCCCATGCCACGGCGGCTATGTTGGGCCGTGTTAGGGCCTTGTTCATGCCATCATTGCCTCGTTGAGAGGCATTTCAAATCAAACTGAAGCAGTGTGTCGCATGGCCATAGCAAAAGCTTGCAAGGCGTCCCAAAGGCTTGCAGGGTATTGCGGGATCGTTGCAGGGTCGTTGCATGATGTTTGCAGGGTATTGCAGGGGTATTTCGGGGTCGTCTTGCCGGGTATTGCGAGGGCCGTTGTAGGGTCTTTGCAGGGGGCCTTTGCAGGGTATTGCAGAGTCTTCGCAGAGTGTTCAGGGGCTGGGGTTCTGTTCTATTCTGTTAGAAGAAGGAAGAGGGATGGCGTTTGACCACCTATGCCCAGAAGGCTGGTGGGATTTGCTGGAGTGGCATACGACGATACGCAGCTTCAAACATTATGAGGATCGCTCGCCGAGTGATACGTCTGCCGATTTGTTCCACCTCACTCTTCACAGAAAGGAGCGTGGATACGCCAGCAAGCTTGACTTCGCCTCCTTCCACGCTCCTCCACTGCCTCACCCTACTCGTGCACCTCAGCCGTTCCAGGCCAAGGGCCGTCAGGGCTGCAGGGGCCTGGAGCAGAGTGCCTCTGCGTTGCGCCCCCTCCCCTCCCGCTCGCTCTCGGGCCGATGCTCGGGCTGGTGCGCCGCGCCGCCACTGGCGTGTCCCGGGTGACCGCCGAGAGGTGCGGTGCACCGGCGCTCAATGCTCTCGGGGCCGTGCCGTGCAGGTTGGACGCGAAGCGCGGCTACCGCCATTGGTGGCGCGTGCTGCCCGAGGACTTCGAGTTGAACACCGAGTCCATGCCCAAGGACGTGAAGAGCCTGATGTCAAGCAATCCGTACGAGCTGGGCTTCGTCGACAACTACTGGTACTGGCGCATCCGCGCGGAGAGCACGATCATGGACCCAGAGAACTTGCCGAAGAAGAGCTACAAGCAGCTGTGCCGCGATATGGGCCTGACTGTGGTCAACAGCAAAGCGAGCACTGTGTTGGGCATCATCGAGCTGTACGAGTACCTGAAATCTTCGCCTTTCATCGGCCCCTTCGGCACCATCGAGAACCCGGTGCTGGTACCCGCGATCCACACCGAGCGAGTCGTGGGATGCAGTGGCGGCACGGGGGACGCGGAGCACGTGCCGTTGTGGTTCCGTTGCCGCGAGGGTTTTTTGTACCGCTGTGGCGAGTGCGACCAGATCTTCATGCTCGTCCGGGTCATGTACGAGATCAGCCCCGAGGACGGCGGCCAGATCCCCGACCCCGACGTGAACGATGTGTTCGATTTCGGCCTCTTGGAGAAGGGCAGCGAGGTGTGGAACTCTGGCGGCATTGGGGGAACAGAAAGATGCCGGAGCTGCTGCTCCCCGCACCTCTCCCCGCTTGCGTTCTGACCAGGATCCGGAGGCGGATCTGACCGTGGCGACGAGCGACGAGGGCCAGCCAGGAAGCCCGAGAAGGAACAGTCGAAGGAAGGATTCCAGTAGTGGTACAAGGCAGGCCCACGCAATACAGACGCTGCGGCGGCACCAGCGTGGGCGTTCGAGGCTCCACGCCGTCGGCTTCCCAGAATCGGCAACCGTCGAAGGACCAGCGCTATCGGAAAGTCGCGATCGTTCCGGGTGGACCAGTCCACACGGTGGCAGAGGCCAACGCAGCCGTCATTGCGACGTGTGCCTGTCACATCGGCATCGGTATCTTACTCCAAAGGCTTACGTCATTCCGCCGACCCACAGAGGGAGTGAGGAGCAACACGGAAGCGAACAGGAGGAGGTGGAGGGGCTCGAGGGAGACGAGAGGAAGAGGAGGAGGAGGACGACGAGGAGCAGGAGGAGGAGGAGGAGGAGGATCGGCGCGACCAGGGGAGAAATGAGAGAGGGCGGGCCTTCTCAGAAGGCTCGGAAGGCCTCCAGCCTTTGAAAAGTGTTTTATGCCTGTCCCCGGAGACAGAGAACATGTCTCAGAAGGCGCGGGGGGGTTCTGAGAAGCCCCGCCACCTGAAAAGGCCTTCTCACTTCCCCCCCGGGCACGCCGCCGAGAGGAGGAGTACAAGGAGGAGGAGTGAGGAGCCCACGGAAGGGAACAGGAGGAGGAGGAGGGGCACGAGGGAGGCGAGAGGAGGAGGAGGGGGAGGACATGCTCTCCCGTGAGGCATGATCATGTGGCCAGTTGGCTATGATGCCCTCCACGGCACCGTCTACGGCGGCGCGCCGCGCGACGAGCTCAACGAGCAGCGCGCCATCGGCGAGTGAGAGCGCCTCCTCTGGCCGAAAGGGCGCGCCCGCAGTGCAGTCGTTCCCTCCTCAGCTTTGGAGGAGGCCCAGACATCCAGCGTCTCGAAAAAATAAGTCGAGACAAAGATTTGATCATCGGTTTGGCTCCTTTGTTCGACGTCGAGTATGCCCTTAGATTTCTTATAGCATGATTTTTTTTTCGCATGTCCCACTTTACACCTGTCGCGCTCGTGCGTGTGTTAGAGTGGAAGGCGTCCTGCGGACTGGCCGCATACTCCCAAGTCCTGTCTTTGGGCCCCTTGGGGTCTTTGGGCCTATATTTGGCTCTTCCGACGCACTTAAGAATATCCTGAGCAGAGAGGGCCAGGACACCCAAGTTTTGCAAACATACGTATGAAACTATGTTGGTCATTATTCCTAGCATGTGCTCAGACATCTTGGAAGTGTCTTGGGGCCCCTTTGACGCCTGTTGGCTGCTCTGTTGGAGCCCCTTGGATGTGTATTGAGGTAATGGTTGGCCATATTGGCGACCATAGGGGCCTTTCTCGCCTGCTTTGGGTTCGGAATATTCGGCGCGCCTTGGAGAGCACCAGGGAGGCGGAGTGCGCGTGCGTGTGCGTGTGCGTGTGCGTGTGCGTGTGTGTGTGTGTGTGTGTGTGCGTGTGTGTGTATGGGGTATTTGTGTGTGTGTGTGGGTGGGTGGGCGTGGTGGGGTGGGGGGTGGTGGGGGTGTTGGTGTGGTGCGTGGTGTGTGTGTGTGTGTGTGTGTGTGTGTGTGCGTGCGTGCGTGCGTGCGTGCGTGCGTGCGTGTGTGTGTGTGTGTGTGCGCGCGCGCGCGTGTGTGTGTGCGTGCTTGTGTGTCTGTTTGTTTGCGTTGTTTATGCGTGTGCGTCTATGTGTTCGCATGTGTGTATGTGCGTGTGGCGTGTGTGCGTGTGTGTGTGTGCGTGTGTGCGCGTGTGCGTGTGTGCGTGCGTGTGTGTGTGTGTGTGGTGCGGCTGTGTGTGGTTGTGTGGTTGTGTGTTTGCGCGTTGGTTTGTGGGTATGTGTGATTGCGTCTGTGTGTGTCTGTGCGAATGCGTGTGTTTGTGCGTGCGTTTGTGGGTGTGTGTCTGCGGGTATGTGCATGTGTGTATGTGATGTCGTGTATGTGTGTGTATGTGTGTGTGGGTGGGTGGGTGGGTGCGTGTGTGTGGGAGGGGGGGCGGGGCGGGGGGCATGTGGGCGTGTGGGTGTGGGCGTGTGTGTGGGGGGGTGGGGGTGGGTGCGTGCGTGCGCGCGCGCGCGTGCGTGCGTGTGTGTTTGTGTGTGTGTGTTCGTGTGTGTGTGTGTGTGTGTTCGTGTGTGTGTGTGCGTTGCGTGTGTGCGTGTGCGTGTGTGCGTGTGCGTGTGTGCGTGTGCGTGTGCGTTTGCGTGTGTGTGTGTGTTTGTGCGTGTGCGTTTGCTTGTGCTGTTTCTGTGTTTTGTGTGTGTGGTGTGTGTGTTGTGTTGCGTGTTTGTTATGTTATGTTGTGTTGTGTTTGTTTTTGTGTTTGTGTGTGTGTGTGCGTCCGTGCGTGCGTGCGTGTGTGTGTGTGTGTGTGCGTGTGTGTGTGCGTGTGTGCGTTTGTGTGTGTCCGTAGCCATTTGACTCAAGCCGTCTCGGGTACCTCCCCGCTCAAGGGCCCTTGCCCTAGGCTGGGGGCCCCCGCTGGTCCACGCGGCGCGCGCTTGGGTCCACCTGGGCCAGGGGGTCGTGCGCCTGCCACTGCGCCATCGGAGGCGCAGCCCGCCAGCGGCCACAGCTTCCCCCGCGGGCAGGGTTGTGGCCTTGGTGTTCATTTCCTGCCTTCTTGGGCCCCCGTCATCCCCCCCCTCGTTTCCCTCCCGCGTCTCCCGCCGCTCCTTGTCCGTCCTGCTCTCGTCTGCTTCCCTTGTCATGCCAGACACGGGAGACCACCGCGCAATTAGGAAATTCACCGGTCGGGGCACCCGCCCAGGTGCGGAAGGAAGGGCTCCGCCAGGCCAGGATTGCGTACTTCGCATCGGCCTCCAGGGCCGCGGAGAACGTCTGAATAATCTCCCCGACGACCGCGGTAGTTGGGGAATTGCGCATCTCTCGTCACCGAGTGGATTCTCAGCGTTGCCCCCAGGAACCGGACAGGACGGGCAGCCAGGAGGCACAATCTCAGCCGCGCGACCCCTTGGGCGGCCCCACCTGCGCAGTATCGGCGCGCCCGAGGCGCCCGAGAAGGATTCTACGCGGGCGTCGGTTCGTTTGCGCCGAGGCTCCCGAGCCGCCACGAGGCCTCGTGGCCTCGTGACAGCCCTGCACGTTGCGCCATGGTCCACCTGGAATCATAGCTACCGCAGAGCGCCTGCAGATGTTATACATAGAGCATGGGTTGGAAATCCAAATGGCGCACGCTATAGGGGACGCGTGAGCCTCTGCATGGGCCATCGCAATTTGCTCACGTTGCGCCGACGCGCCGCGTGAGCGCGCGCGCAGCATCTGCGGCTTCCTAAATTGCGTTGAAATCGCTCGTGCGAACATGCCGCGTTTGAAATCCATGGGGCGCGCGCCAAGGGGCCACTCATGAGTCCCCGACGCGCATCACATCAACACGCGGTCGTGCGTGCGGGACTCGCGAGCGAGCGCTCGAACAGATTCCCGCGTGAACGCCCGTTAGATTGGAGATCAAAACGAAGAGCGCTACAGGGCAACTCGGGATACTGAACGCAACGCACTTGCGTTGTCTTGTTGCGCTCGAGCGCGCTGGCGCCGTTGAAAAGATGCGCGCCCGCAGAGCCGGGACATATTTCAAGTCGGAACACCAATTGCGCGCGCCAAGGCGGTCTTCGAGCTCCAACGCGACAGTTGATGCGATTTGAGGTCGCGCGCGGCGGACGCGCGAGACGTGCAATAGACGAGGCGTGCAAGATAGCGCGCGAGCGCCTTGCATGGATGCGCATCCGCCAGGGGGAAAAATCGATGCAAATTTAGCCACGACGCCGAATGGCGCGCGCCGCGGGGGCCTCTTTGAGTTTCTGCAACCAGGAGAAATATCATTTTGCGCGCGCTGGGAGCGCGTTAACTAAACGAAATCAAGACGCACGATCTGAACATACATCTGCACGCACGCATAGCGCGCGCGCCCCCCTGCATCGACGCGCGAAGAAACAGCGCGAGCTGGAAACGCACATGGCGAGCGCCGCTGTGGCATTTGAGCCCCGGTTGCCGGGAGAAGACAATTCCGCGTGATATAGCGCGCGAGAAGTTCGCGCGCGTTCCATTGCATGGATACTCGCCCACGTACATAAATCTATATACACACAACCAGACTGAACAGGAAACGGAGATGGCGCGCGCCAGCGTGGCAGCTGTTTCTGCGGACAGGAGTCAAAAGTGCGCCTTGTCTCCTCGTTGCCATCGCGACAGTTCGCGCGTTGCAGCGTCGCGCATGGCGGGCGCCGAGCGAAGTTGCGCCGCGACGTGCGCGCCTGCGTCTGCATGGATACGCACCAGCAGAAACGCGCGTCGAGCTGGGAATCCACATGGCGCGCGCCATGGTGGCATTTGAGCTTGCGTGGCCAACGTTGCAGTTCATGCATTTTGATAGCGCATTGCGCGTCAAAAAAAAATAAACGAAATCCAACGATGCGGGGGCTCCGCGAAAACGTTCGCGGGCCCCTGCGAGCGCCGCGACAACTTTCGCGCGTCTCCACGCGCGCCGCGACAGCTAAGTGTCACAGCGCTAAAGCGCTCGTAGATTTCCGCGGGCGATCGCTCGCGCCCGCGAATGCGCTCGCGGACAATCGCGCCCGCCGCGGAAGCGCGGGCAGGGGTCCGCGAAGATTCGCGCACGAGCTTTTCGCGCGTCACGAACGCCGCGGACACTCGACGCTGACCGTTCTCCTGCGCGGGGGGGGCCGCCGCCCTCGGGCGCGGGGGCGCGGCCGGGGCGGGCGCGCGGGCGGGGGCGGGGGGGGGGGGCGGGGGCGAGGGCGGGGTCAAGTTAGCCAGCTCGAACGAGCCAGAGGGCTCCGTCCACCTCCCACCCGCCCTTCTACAACATCAGAAGCAACTGCGTCGCGTCCGACGCCTGTCGCCCAGCTTATATCTCGGGCGGCGAGACGTTCAGCGCGCGACGTTAGCTGCGCCCTATCCCTGCCGCGCGGCGAACAACGTCGACGAGAGACAAGGACGCGCGCGATGTACGCCGCGCCCCGCTCCGGCCTCTCGCGTTGCATCGTCGGCGACAACATGTCCGGCGCGCGAAGCGCGCCGCGTCTCATTCCAGCCACGCACGCTGCACTGCCAATCGCTTTGCTCCCGCCGCGCATGGAGGAGGGGGGGGCGAGGAGGAGGGAGAGGGGGGGAGAGGTCTCACTTGCGCGAACACGACAACGGGCGCGCCCTCGGCGAACCGCACTTGCTTGAAGCATTATGACTTGCCGCCCGCCCAGCTCCTCAACCCGACGGGCCGCAGCGTCGACGACAAGGAAGTCCACGTTGACGAGCAGGCGCCCCCGCGCGACGCGCGCCGCGCCCCATTCCCGCCGCGCGATTCGCAGCGCCGACGAGGAGAAAGTACACGTTGGCAAGAAAAACGTCGACGTTGCGGTGTTTTCTGCCAGGTAGGACGGGGGGCCCCGCGTAGGGTTGGCCAGGCGTCCGCGCGCGATGTGCGCAGCGTCGCATTCCTGCTGCACTTTTCGCAGCGTCGGCAACAAGGAAGTCAATGTTGTCGAGGAAAACGTCGGCTTTGCATTGTTTTTTCTTCAAACAAAAAATAAGTGGGACGCGACCGTCCACGGAGGGCCCCCAAAGCGATGTCCATTCCGTTCCATTCCTGATACATTTCTCGCAAATCGACGACATGTTGGCGAACAGAAATTGAGTTTGAGTTGGTTTTTGACAGTTGGGACGGCGGGGTTGCTATCGGCCGGCTAGGTGGAGGTTTGGGGGCGTTTAATCTTAAGAAGTAAGGATAGGGCGGGGTGCGCGTGCATGCGCGTGGGTCGGGGCTGGGCTTGGGGCGGAGATGTTCGCGGCGGGCGCGCGTGGGTGCGCGCGCGCAAATGCGTGCGCGCGCAGGTCTGCATGCGCGCGTGCGTGCGTGAATGCGTGTGCGCGTGTGTGCGTGCGCGTGCATGTGTATGTGAGTGTGCGTGTGTATGTGCGTTTGCATGTGGGCGCGTGCGTGCGTGTTCGCGCGCCTGTGCGTGTGTGTGTTTGTGTGTGTGTTTGCATGGTTGTTTGTGTGCGTTTGTGCGTTGTGTGTGCGCTCTATGTGCGGCGCGGTGTGTGAGTTGGCGCGTGGGTGTGCGTAAATGTCGCGTGTGTGTGTATGTATGTGTGAATGTGTGCGTGTGTGTCTGTGTGTTTGCGTGCGTGCGTGCGCGCGTGCGTGTGTGCGCGTGCGTGCGCGTGTGTGTGCGAGGGTGTGCGCGTGCGTGCGCGTGTGTGCGTGCGTCTGCGTGCGCGTGCGTGCGCGTGTGTGCATTTGTGCGCGTGTGCGTCTGCGCGCGCGTGTGCGCGCGCGTGCGCGCGCGTGGGCGGCGCGTGCAAATGTTTGCGTGAATGCGAGTGCGTGCGCGCGTGCGCGAGTGAGTGCGTGCCTGCGCGCGCGCGCGCGCGTGCGTGCGCGCGCGCGCGTTCGTGCTTGCGCGCGCGCGTTCGGGCGCGCGCGCGGCTGCGGCGAAGGGAGAGCGGGCGCGGGGCGGGCGCGGGCGCGGAGGAAGGGGCGGGGGGGGTGGAGGGAGGGGCGCAGGGGGCGGGGGCCGGCGCATGCACGCGCGCGTGGGCGGGGGCGGAGGCGCGGGCGAGCGCGCGGGGGCGGGGGGGGGGCGGGCGTGCGAGCGCGCGCGCGCGTGCAAATGTGTAGTATGTGCGCGCGCGCGTGTGTGTGTGTGTGTGTGCGTGCGTGTGTGTATGCGCGTGTGTGTGTGTGTGTGCGTGTGTGCGTGTGTGCGTGCGTGCGTGTGCGTTGTGCGTGTGCGTGTGCGTGTGCGTGTGCGTGTGCGTGTGCGTGTGCGTGCGTGTGCGTGTGCGTGTGCGTGTGCGTGTGCGTTTGCGCGTGCGTGCGTGTATGTGTGCGAGTGTGTTCGTGCGCGTGTGCGTGTGCGTGTGCGTGTGCGTGCGTGCGTGCGTGTGTGTGTGTGTGTGTGCGCGTGCGTGTGTGTATGTGCATGCGTGTGCGTATGTGCGTGTGTGTGTGTGTGTGCGTGGTGTGTGTGTGTGTGGTGTGTGGTGGGTGTGGTGGGTATGTGTGTGCGTGCGTGAGTGCGTGCGTGCGTGCGTCCGTGTGTGTATGTGTGTTGTGTGTGGTTGTGTGGGTGGGTGTGTATCTGTGTTTGTGTGTTTGTGTGTGCGTGCGTGAGTGCGCGCGTGCGTGTGTGTGTGTGTGTGTGCGAGTGTGTCTGTGTGTGTGCGTGTGTGTTTGTGTGTGCGCGTGTCCGTGCGTCATTGTGTGTGTTTGCGTGTGGGTGTATGTGTGTGTGATTGTGCGAGTGCGTGTGCGTGTGTGTATGTGTGTGTGCTCGTGTATGCGAGTTGTGTGTGAATGTTTTTGTGCGTGTGCGTGTGCGTGTGTGCAGTTGCGTTTGTGTGTCTGCGTGTTTGTGTGTGCGCGTGCGTGCGCGCGTGCGCGTGCGTGTGCGTGTGCGTGTGTGTGTGTGTGTGGTGCGTGTACGTGCGTGCGTGCTTGTGTGTGATTGCGTCTGCGTTTGCGTTTGTGTCTGCGTCTGCGCCTGTGCCTGCGTCCGTGTCTGCGTCTGTGTCTGTGTCTGCGTCTGTGTCTGTGCCTGTGTCTGTGTCTGTGCCTGCGTCTGTGCCTGCGCCTGTGTCTGTGCCTGTGTTTGTGTCTATGCCTGTGTCTTTGTCTGTGCCTGTCTGTGCGTGTGTGTCTGCCTCTGTGTCTGCGTGTGCGTGTATCTGTGTGCGTGTGTGTGCTTGTGCGTGCGTGCGTGCGTGCGTGCGTGCGTGTGTGTGTGTGTGTGAATGTGTGTGAATGTGTGTGAATGTGTGTGAATGTGTGTGAATGTGTGTGTGTGTGTGTGAATGTGTGTGTGTGTGCGGAGGGGTGACGGGGGGGGCAAGCGTGGGGCGGGCGTAGACGTGTGGGGGGGGGGGGGCGTAGGCGCGGAAGTGGGGGGGGGGCGTGCGTGGGGGTAGGGGTGGGGGCGGGGGCGGGGCGCGCGGGGTGGTGGGCGGGCTGGTGGGGTGGGGGGGGGCGGGGGCCAGCGGGGGGAGGGGACGTAGAATATGCAGACAGGAACCATAGGGGCAGGGTAGTGGATTCAAGTGGCCACAGATGTTTCAAGTAAGTAGGGGTGGGGTGCGACCCGATGAGTACGATTGGGTGTCCAAGATCCTCATCCGTGTTCCTTCTCAGTATTCCGACATCAAGGTTTTCGTGGCCGTGGCCGCAGGAGCTCTTGGTTGTTATCCCCATGATATGTTTATGCGTTCTTGACATACGTTCTCCAAATCGGTTTGCCTCATAGGAATCCTAACTCATCAAAAGTAATTGGTTTTGTAGCCCCCCCCCTTTTTCAAATGCCCCCCGTATGTCCAATGCCCCCTTTTTTCCAATGGCACTTGTTTGTGTGCTCTTGCGTGCTTGCTCTCGCTTGTTTGCTCTTGCATGCCCTTGCTTGCTTGCACTTGATCGCTGGCTCTTGCTTGCTTGTTTTTGCTCGCTTGCGCTTGCTTGCTTCTGCTTGCTTGCTTGCGCTTGCTTGAGTTTGCTCCTCCCGTCCTCCTCCCGTCCTGCTCCCGTCGTCTTTTCGTCATCCTTCCATCCTCCTCTCGTCCTCCTCCTGTCCTCCTATCTATTTGGAGTCAACGCTGGCTGATATGTATTGCTTTGTTCACGAAAAGTGCACCCGGTAACCGCAAACACTTGAAAGACTACATTGGCGAATTGTTCGCGACGCTGGAGGTCTGGACTCCTCTTCTTTCCGCATTCTCCTCGGACGTGGGCTGCCGCTCTGATTAATCGAAAAAGTTGGGGAAGGAACGTGCACGAGTTGCGGTTCCGCCCCCATCCTTCCTCATGCTTCTGTTTCTCCCCATTGTTTTTCCCTCATCTCTTGTCCCCTCTCCGGCCTCCCTCCCCCCATTCCCGTTCCCCTTCTCATTCCCCTCCGTTCCTCCCCCTCATCCCATCCCCACTCCCTCCCCTCCACCCCCTCCTCCCCTCGCTGTCCTTCCCCACGTCTTCCCCCGTTTTGCCCTCCCCCAGCATTTCCCGCCTCGTCCAGCTGATTCCCATCCTCCTTCCCCTCCCCCTCCCCCGCCTTTCCCCCTCCACCACCCTCCCCCCCTCCCCCTGCCCCCATCCCTTTGCCCGCTCCGCCTCCCTGCGATCACACGGGAGAGCGCGCGCGAGGGGAGGAGGAGTAGGAGGAGGAGAAGGAAGAGGAGGAGGAAGAGGAGGAGAAGGAGGAGGAGGAAAGAGATGAGCGGGAAAATCTCTGCCAATGATGCGAGGCAGTCGAATTATTTTTGCGGGCAAGTCCTGAAGCCGCAAGTGGGCCCAGAGGTCAATCGGAGCGTGAAGGGAAGGGACCATCGGGCCCAGAGTCGTAGCTGCGGGAAGGGACACCGTCCCTCCCTGCTGGCCGCGTCGACGTGGTGGCGAGGGTTCTGAACGCCTCTAGTGGCCCAGAACCAGCCGAGATCGAACGATCTCAGCTATCTATCGGAAGGCCGCAGTCGTTCAAGGCTGGACGATCCACGAGGTGTCAGAAACCAACGCCGACGTCATCGTCCAGGCCGCCAAGTGGGGTCGCAGTAGAGTTGGTCGGAGGATCGCGCTGCATCGTTGATGCATCAGCCGCCAGCAGGCCCGCCTCCGTGTTACGTCCGTAACACCGAATGAGTTCAAAGGTTCGCGGCGGAGCGGAAGTAGTGATTTCATGGAGGTGGGAGCGTCGCGCATCGGAGGCCAGGCGCGGCGCCGCCGTTGCCATGAGCAATTGCCCTCCGCTGCGCGCATCGGGAAGCGCTGGGCGCGCCCGGCCGCAGGCCTCAGAGTCCCCGTGAAGCGGGGTCCCCGTCAGGGGGGCGCTGAGCCGACGGCAAGGCGCGCCGAAGGCGAGGCCTTTCCACCGAGGAAGCGCCAACATGGATCGAGGCGCACGGATGCGCGACGGGTCTCGCTGCCATGCCAGATCGACGCGCTCCTTCGCAAAACGAGGCGGCACTGGCCTCGTGCTTCGGGGGCACCTTTCCCGTTCCATGGACCTGGCTCCCACGCGCCAGATCCACGGATCTCGGCGATGCTTCAGAGTGACCATTCGCCGGAGTGGCCTTTGGTGCGGGGCCACCCGGCCCCACAGGTGCCCTTTGCATTGGCCCGCGCGCCTGGCTTTGGCCCCCGTCACGGCCCCTGAAGCCGCGCACCACAGGTCACTCTTGCCCAAGGTCACCTCTTGCGCGTGGCCGAGGACCTGCGATCCGTGTTTCTGGGCCTCCAAGATAGGGTCAGAGTAGGTGGTGTCGTCAGATCGCGCCGCATCGCCGATGCATCGGCGATGCGGCTCGATGTGGAGCCCGGCTTTCTCCACGCCGATGGTGCCGATGCACCGCCGACGTCGCCGATGCCTCGGCGATGCGGCGCGATCCTCGGACCCCACCTGTTCGGACCCCACCTGGGATGCCTCTCCAGTGCCAGCGTGCTCCCGATTCTGGGCGGCCTCCAGCCGGGAGGGCCGCGGCGCGCCCGAGGTCTCCGTCGACCCGCCGTCCGGCGGCGGGGCGCGCAGACTGCTGCTGCAGTCGCTCGCGCGGCCGGACCTCGGCCTCACCGTGCTGAGCCGGGGCCTCGGCGGTGCTTGTCGGGCGGCCCCCGGCAGGCTCCGAAGGCCTTCGGGCGGCCCTTCGGCTGGCCGTCGGCGGCCTCCGGAGGCCTTGGCGGCCCAGGCCACGGCGCGGAGGTCGTGGCAATCGTCGTCGACGTCGCCGCCGTCGTCGCCGCCGCCTGGGGTGTCGTGGGGCTGGGGGGAGGTTCTGGGGCCATCTCGGGGGGGGAGAGCTTCGGGGCCCGGATATTGGAGTTTTTCCTAAGCATCAGGTGGTGTTGGGTCCTCGTTTTGAAGAGACAGCGTCCCGCGTCTCCTTCCTCCTCCCGCTGCCCTCTCCCTCCCCCTCTCACCATCATCATCGTCATCGTCATCGTCGTCATCATCACCATCATCATCATCATCATCATCATCATCAGCATCAGCATCATCAGCATCATCATCATCATCATCATCATCATCATCATCATCAGCATCAGCATCATCATCACCACCATCATCATCATCATCATCATCATCATCATCATCATCATCATCATCATCATCATCATCATCATCATCATGATCATCATCATCATCATCATAATCATCATCATCATCATCATCAGCATCAGCATCAACATCATCATCACCACCATCACCGTCATCGTGGGCACCATCGGCGTCATCAACATCGCCATGGTCAACGTCGTGCCTCTGTTCTCCGCGTGCCCACCAATTCGGCATACCCCTCACACGCTTCGTGGCCCCATAGGGAGCGCCAACTGAGGCCCCAATGGGAAACTTCGCATGGCGGCCCCGCCGCGCCCGCCCCGTTTCGGCACACCCCTCACTCGCTTCGGGACCCCATAGGGAGCTCCACCTAAGGCCCCGATGGGAAAGTTCGCATGACGGTCCCGCTCCATTTCGGCACACCCCTCACACGTTTCGTGGCCCCATAGGGAGCTCCATCTAAGGCCCCAGTGGGAAAGTTCGCATGGCGGCCCCGCCCCATTTCGGCACATCCCTCACACGTTTCGTGGCCCCATAGGGAGCTCCCCCTAAGGTCCCAATGGGAAAGTTCGCATGACGACCCCGCCCCATTTCGGCACACCTCTCACACGTTTCGTGGCCACATAGGGAGCTCGAGCTCCATCTAAGGCCCCAGTGGGAAAGTTCGCATGGCAGCCCCGCCTCATTTCGGCACACCCATCACACGTTTCGTGGCCCCGTAGGGAGCTCCACCTAAGGCCCCAGTGGGAAAGCTCTCATGGCGGCCCCGCCCCATTTCGGCGCACCCCTCACTAGGATCGTGGCCCCATAAAGGGCTACACCCAAGGCCCCAGTGGGAAAGTTCGCATGGCGGCCCCGCCCCAGTTCGGCGCACCCCTCACGAGGATCGTGGCCCCATTGGGAGCTCCATCGAAGGCCCCAGTGGGAAAGTTCGCATGGCGGCCCCGCCCCAGTTCGGCGCACCCCTCACGAGGATCGTGGCCCCACAGGGAGCTCCACCGAAGGCCCCAGTGGGAAAGTTCGCATGGCGGCCACGCCCCAGTTCGGCGCACCCCTCACACGTTTCGTGGCCCCATAGGGAGCTTCACGCCCCAGTTCGGCGCACCCCTCACGAGGATCGTGGCCCCGTAGGGAGCTCCACCTAAGGGCCCAGGGAGAAAGCTCTCATGGCGGCCCCGCCCCAGTTCGGAGCACCCTTCACTAGGATCGTGGCCCCATAAAGGGCTACACCCAAGGCCCCAGTGGGAAAGTTCGCATGACGGCCCCGCCCCAGTTCGGCGCACCCCTCACGAGGACCGTGGCGCCATAGGGAGCTCCACCGAAGGCCCCAGTGGGAAAGTTCGCATGGCGGCCCCGCCCCAGTTCGGCGCACCCCTCACGAGGATCGTGGCCCCATAGGGAGCTCCACCGAAGGCCCCAGTGGGAAAGTTCGCATGGCGGCCCCGTCCCAGTTCGGCGCCGCACCCCTCACGAGGATCGTGGCGAGCTCCCCCTAAGGCCCCAGTGGGAAAGTTCGCATGGCGGCCGCGCCCCAGTTCGGCGCACCCCTCACGAGGATCGTGGCCCAATAGAGAGGTTCATCGAACATGATAGTCGCGACTGCGGTACTCACAGCTGCATGTGGTTGGGTCCTTCGTCAGGCTAATTGTTTTGCCATTTTTGGACCGTCTCAGAGCGAAATATCGCTGGCCGTCTTTGGGAGGGAGTGGGCCGCCAAGGAGAGGAAGCTTGAGGCCTAGCCTGGCGGCAGAGAAAAATCGATGTTCAGACAATCCCAGAGAAGCCTCTTGGAGGGTTCCTTGGGGGCCCCTGGAGGCTGCCTGGAGCCTCTTGCGGCGATGAGCGGCGTCGTCGGGCCGATGGTGCGGCGTCGGTGCCCTCATGGGAGGCGCTCAGAGGGGACGTCTTGCGGCCGCCTGGGGCCTGCCAGCAGGCGGCAGTGGTCGGGCATTGTGCATTGCGACGGGCATCGGGTCGTGCAGTGGCGCGGAGAAGGGGCGGGGGGGAGGAGGCCTTCCAAGAAGGGAAGCCCGCCTGCAAGCCCCCCCGGCCTCCAGCGCAGGACGCCTTCCTGGGAGCCCCCCGAGAAGGTGCCGGTCCCGTCTAAGAAGCCCTTGGCGTCCTCGACGGCCGCCCCCCTTCGCATGGCCCCCGTGCGCGCGTTGTCGGGGCCGTGTGGACGAACTCGTGGGAAAGAGCGAGGGGCATCTTCCGATTGCCCAAAAAGAGAACACGGCCGTGCTTTTGCCACCGCAGCTGCGTTTCAGCGCGCCTTCGGGCCCGCCAAGAGCATTCGTCCCAGCGCAACCAGAGTCTCGTTCTGGGCCCACTCGCTCCAGCGCAACCAGATCCTCTTCGGTCCAGGCCGCACCCATCCTGCCGTGGCGAGAGGGCAGAGGCAGCCTGGCCAGTTGTGTCTGGCTCCCCGCCGAGGCCTCGACCGCGACTGCCTCGCCCTCGAAGGCCGCCCGCGCAGCCTCACCGCCGCCGCCAGAGTTGGCCCGGGAGCTTGGTGCGTGGCGCTGTGGGCTATTCTCGAAGAAGAGAGCACGAGACAAACGTACAGTCAACGCGCCTGGTATGGATGCGTGCCTGCATCTAGGGTACTTTTGTGTCCTTGCCTCTGCGGCCCGTCCTTTGCCGTTGTTACTGGTCGCCGGCCGCTCAAAAGATTCCAACTTCGGCCTCCAAGGGTCTTCCGTCCTTACCATCCGTCCTTACTACACGTTTTGCCTGCACGTGATAGCCAGCCTGGACCTCAAGCAGTAGGTTTTTGCACTTGGGACGTGTAGGATGCTGGAGTGGGATCGACGAGGTGCCGTCTATGCGGCGTGAGTTTGGTGTTTTGCACATTCTGCGGCGCCATCTGCGTGGTGCTCTCCCAGGCAAAGGGTAGCAACGGGCGCCACAGTAGCGAGTCCTTGGCGGACCACCCAAGCGCGGTGGGCGGCAGCGTGGCGAGACCTCGGCGGACCCCCCAACGGCAACGAGGCGGCCACGGGCAGCAACGTGGCAAAAGCTCGGCGGACCCCCCAACGGCAACGAGGCGGCCACGGGTGACAACGCGGCGAAACCTCGGCGGACTCCCCAACGGCAACGAGGCGGCAATGAGCGGCGACGTGGCGAGGCCTTGGATCCCCCCACGGCAACGAGGCGGCAACGGGCTGCAACGTGGCGAAAGCTCGCGCAACGAGGCGGCCACGGGCGGCAATGTGGCGAAACCTCGGCGGACCCGCCACCTGCAACGAGCCGGCAACATGGAGAAAGCTCGGCGAATCATTCAACGGCAACGAGGCGAACCCTCAGCGGGCCGATCCAAGCATTGATTGGGGAATGGTTGGAGCCCCGCGCGGATTTCTTGGACCTACATGGTACCCCCCTGGAAGCGCTTCCAGCGCCGCCCCTGGCTTGTTCCGCGCTCCAGGGAGGAGATTGCTGGCGAAAGTGTGTGAGTGTGTGCGTGTTGTGTGTAAGTGTGTGTGTGTGTGCTTATGTGTGTGTGCTTGTGGTTGTGCTTGTGTTCGTGTTTGTGTTTGTGCTTGTGCTTGTGCTTGTGCTTGCGTGTGTTTGTATGTGTGGTCGTGGTTGTGTGTTGTATGTGTGTTTGTGGCTGTGGTTGTGGTTGTGTGCTGCGCTTGTTTTCGGAATTGAGTTTGTGTGTGTGCTTGGTTGTGTTTGTGTTTGTCTTTGTGGTTGTGGATGTGATTGTGGTTGTGTTTGTCGTACTGGTTGTGCTTTTGCTTGTGCGTGTGCTAATGTGTGCTTGTGCTTGTGCTTGTGCTTGTGTGTGTGCTTGTGTTTGTGTTTGTGTTGTGTGTGTTTTTGCTTGTGTTTGGGTTTGGGTTTGGATGTGCGGTTGCGGTTGTGGTTGTGGTGTGTGGTTGTGGTTGTGTTTCTGTGTTGTGGTTGTGGTTGTGTTTGTGTTTGCGTTTGCGTTTGCGTTTGTGTGTGTTTGCTAGTGTGTGTGTGTGTGTGCGTGTGTGTGTGTGTGTGTTTGTTGTGTGTGTGTGTGTTTCTGTGTTTCTCCGCCCTGGCGCTGCGCGCAGGGCCGCGACGCCAAAGTGCGTGCGTGTGCAATATTGTGTTGCGTTGTGTTGTGTTGTTTGGTGTGTTTTGTTTGATGCATCTGGATTCGGCGGCGTGTAGCGCGGCAGGGCCCCTGGGGCGGCCTTCCAAGAGTGCTGCCTCCCAGAAGCCCTCTTGCCTTCCTCATGGAAGCCTGCGTGGTCGGGGGCGGCGAGGGGGGGGGGGTCGAGGAGAGTGCTGGGGAGTGTGGATATCGTCGCTGGACCCTTACAGTGTCCTAGATCAGATGGCCCTCTTCTTAGCATTGGCATGTTTATTATTGTTCTTCGTCTCAACATCATGTATCATGACTCACGCGGCTTGCGCCTTTCCGCCGACCCCCCAGAAGGAGCGAGTGTTTGCGACGAGCTTGGAAGTTATCTAGTGAGTCAGGAGCTTCTTGGATGCATATGCCTCGCAGGGGACTCTTGGGGGCTTCTTGGGGACACCGCGGAGGCCTCGAGTGGCCTTTTTTGGGCCTCTCGGGATCGTCGGGGGCCTCTTGGGGCCATCTTGGGGAGAAAGGCTCGAAATGGCAGCTCGTATCTTCCATTTCGGGCTCCTCGTAGGGCCCTCTTGGGGCTCTCCTGAGTAGTCCTGGGGACCCCTGAGGCCGCCTGGGGGCCCTCTTTGGCTTGGAACGGTCTTGAGTGCCATTTGGGCTGTCGTGGACGCTGCCAAGACGAAAAAGGTGAGTATCTAGTGGTCTTCTGCCCATCCTGGCACTGTGCGTGGGTTGTGGTTCAGAGTGCTCAGGGATGCTTCTTGGGGTCTCTTCAGAGCGCTCTCGGGGGCGGGGCCGTGGGCTCGAAATGTTCGTTCGGTTCCCCCATCTGGACCCCCTCGGGGGGGGCCGTGATTTTAACCTCTTGGGTCGTCTTGGGCGTCTCTTGGTCTGTCTTATTACGCTTGATAGTCCTACGATTCCCCAAACAGTGTTTGCACTTAGGGGTCCTTACTTCTCTTCTAAGCAACTGGCCCCGAATGTCGGTATGGCGGCTTCGTGCTCGTTGTTGCCGCCTCGTCGCCCGCCCGTCGTCCGGGCCTGATTGTCGGTCTGGCGGGTCCTTGCTCGCCGTCGCCGCCTCGTCACCGCCCGTCGTCTTGCGTTACGTTGTATTGATGTGTCTTGATGTGCATTGCTTTGCGTTGCATTGCTGTGCTCCACATCGATTGCTCAACATAGATTGCACCACACTGGTTGCACCAGACTAATTACTCCACATCGGTTGCGCCACACAGATCGCACCACATGGATTGTACAACATAGGTTGCACCCCTTCCACTGAACAATATAGGTTGTACCACATGGAACGCACGACGTAGATTGCCCCACATAGCTTGCACGGCACAGTTGCATCATACAGGTTGAACCACCGATATTGCCCCACAGGTTACACAACAGGTTGCACAACGTAGACACAACATGTATTGCACAACATGGGTTGCACCACATAGTTTGCTCCACATTGCACCACATGGATCGCACCACACACAGGTTGCACAACATACACTGCACACCATATATTGCACGACATAGGTTGCACCTAGAGTGCAGCATATAGATTGCTCCACAGAGAGTGTACAACATATAATGTACCTCAGAGCCTCACCACATAGATTGCACAACATAGGTTGCACCATATCCTTTGCACAACATAGATTGCACAAACAATGCTGCACGTATATTGCGCAGACTATAGTACTTGATACTCACTGGTTGGGGCCCACGCCGGCTAGCATTTTTTATGATTGCGATTCGTGCTAGACATCTTGGTGTCATCTTTCTTCTTACCCGTATGAGTAATAGTAGTTTTCTCATGACTGGCTCTTTCCCCGGACAGTGCTTGCACTTAAGGGTTCTTAATTATCGACTCTTCGCGCATCCCCACCAGCCAATCCAGAAACAATTGCCAGGGGAGTTGCCAGAATGAGGGCAGTGTAGAAGCATGCAGTGGAGAAGTTTTCTTGGGAGCGTACATGGGGCCGCCGACGCGACCGGCCGCTTGTGTTGAATGGCTGAAGACATGTTCTTTTGCCGCCTAGGCCTTCTTTGGGTCTTCTGGGATGGGTTCTCGGGCTTCTCTTGCGGCGATCTCCGGCTGGGGGGATTCATGGGCCCGGGGGCGGATCCCGGCCAGCAGGAGGGGTCGGGTCCCGCCGCGGCGGCGAGGAGGGCATCCAACAAGGACATCGATATTCGATCCCCCCCTCACCCAGAGGCTCAAGAAGGCCCAACAGCATCCACGCTCCTCGAGCCTTGATCCTCCATCCTCGAGGGCGAGGAGGAGGATCAGAGTAGACCCAAAATGTATCGACGATGCTGCAAGACACCCTCCCGTACCAGGCCCTCTCCTCATTAGCGCTCGCAAGCACAAGCATTCCTTCTCTCTGCGTGAAGCGATCCCATTGGCGAGCGCCCCCTGGGCCCACAATGGGAGGGAGGTTCTCTCTGAAAGAAATCGGCCTCCATCCTTCAAGCTATCAGGATTGCGACAAGGTGGGGCCATAACCGCATGCCGATGATAATAAAGGGACCCCCCCCCCTTCAGTGTTTAGAGTTGATTATCGTCGCCCTATACAAAATTCAAATTGGGCGGCGAGCGCTGAGGCCGAACTTCATTATCACCTCGAAACGCTATGTTGAGATAGCAACATCAAGCGATGTTGCTATCCCCGCGCGCGCCTGAACTTTTTTATCTCTGGGGTTGATTATCCATGGAAAGGGGAGCACATGAGCTACCCTACATGAGCACTTAAAAAATCAATTTTCATAAAGCGTTTGTAAATTAAAAATGATAGATTTGGAACTTTCCATTTTTTCAGTTTTTCTTCTCTTCTTCTTCTTCTCTTCTTCTTCTCTTCTTATTATTCTTCTATTTTCCTCTTCTTCTTTTATATTTCTATCTGTCCTCACGCTCGCCTGAACTTTTTTATCCCTGGGGTTGATTATCCATGGAAAATGAAGCACATGAGCTACCCTACACGAGCACTTAAAACAATCAATTTTCATAAAGCGTTTGTAAATTAAAATTGATAGATTTGGAACTTTGGATTTTTCCTTTCTTCGTCCTCTTCTTATTATCCTCTTCTTCTTCTTTCTTATTATTCTTCTACTGTATTCTTCTTCTTTTATATTTCTCTCTGTCCCCACGCTCGCCTGAACTTTTTTATCTCTGGGGTTGATTATCCATGGAAATTGAGGCACATGAGCTACCCTACACGAGCACTTACAAAAAAACAATTTTCATAAAGCGCTTGTAAATAAAATCTAATATATTTGAAACTCGAGATTGTTTATTCTCTTCGTCCTTCTCCTCCTCCTATCATTTCTTTTATTTTATTCTTTATTATTTTTATTTTTATTTTTTATATCTAGCTTCCTCCATTCCAGCGAGATAAGCCATTGTTGAGGATATTTCTATGAAAACTAAACGCCAAGGATGTCTCAAAACGTGCTCGGCTTGGTCTCCTCTTGATCATCTCTTACTTCGAGATTATGCTGAGGTCTGCTGGGCTACTTTTATTATCTCTCCCTGAACCCCGAACTTTATTATCCCCTAGTGTTTATTCTCACGGGCATGAGGTTAAAGTTCAAGGAAGTGCTCAGCGGCAGCCACGCTTTGAACAATGACCGCCCTCCATCCGTGTGGTTGTTGCACTATGTTAGGCTTCGGGCCATTCATGTCAATAATGTCCCAAACGAGAGCCAATTTTGAAAAGGAGCCGCCCTTCATCCGAGCAATTGTTGCAAAGGTGCGTGCTTGTGGCAGTAACTGCTGAGGAGGTATCAGGCAAGATCCGACTTTCGAAAAAAGAGCCGCCCGTCATGAGTGGAGCTGTGAGAAAGTTTGAAAACGAGCATGCGCGGCAGAAAGGCGAGAGCCCCATGTTTAAGCGACTCGCCATCCATCCTAAGACGAGCGTGCGCGGCGCCGAGGCTAGAGCCCCCCCCTGATAGGGAACTGTGATCCATCTGTGTAGTAGCTGCCGGGTTTGCTCAAAACGACTGTGGGCGGCGCCAACGCGAGAGCCCCATTTTGAAAATGACTCGCCCTCCATTCGTCTAGCCGCATGATCTGACTCAGACGAATGTGCGAGAATGTGCGAGGCGCCGGAGCTAGAGCCCCCTTTCGAAGGCGGCCCGCCCTCCGCCCGTGAAAAGGTTGTAAACTTCAGGCCCCGAGATCGTGAGCGGTGCAGGCCAAACGCCCGGCCCGCTCTAGCGACACGTCTGGTGGCGCGACAGGGAGGAGGCATTTACGCAGGGGACCTGGAAAAAGTGGCTGGGGCCAGCCCTTCAACCCTTTCCAGCCCTGACGAGTTTCCCTATATAGTGCTGCCAGCCCTGGCGACCTCATCCCGACTGTGTCGGGCTTGTTCCGGCCCCTGCCAGTTTTCCCAGCCCTGGCCACTTCCACCTCCCTCGGACTCCTAGCTTCTACTTCTTGCGGCTTCCTTGCAGGGAACGGGGGAGGGAGGGCGACGAGGACGCGGACCCCTCGGCCCGCGCCGGAGGCGGCGACGAGACGTGGGCGGTCGGCCAGCCGCCAGTCGTGCGCGCGAGGCGCGGCCCGACCCCGGGCCTGCAGGGGGGTCCGGGCCGCGGCCGGCTGGCAGATGTCTGCAGGTTTCGGTTGGATATCAGGAGGGGAAAAACACACAGACACGAATTAATCGTCGACTCCCAGGAAAATATGGGAAGTGGGGGGGAAGGCAAACACCCAGAAAATATGGGAAAATATGGGGAATCCTGTTATTTGTGTCTATTTATTTGTGTGTCCCAGGGCCCCTTCAGAATAGATGTGGCAAGAAGCAGTTGACGAGGTTGCACCAAGGCCTGCCCCCTGGCTCGTCAAAGCTTGCCACAGGTGAAAGGGCCCAGAAGAAGGTCTGGTGTTGAAGAGTTCAACTTGCCTCAGGCAGGATCAAACAACAAAAAAAACAGGCCTTTGAAGGCGATTTCTAAACCCCAGCCCCGCTCACCTTTCCACTAGAAATGGAGCCGCTCAGACAAGGAGGGAAACTCGGGGATGCACCCCGAGGGGGGCTATTCCGACGCACCCCTATCGAAGATGGACGCCCCCCTTCCGTATATCCCCGAGGTGGGTCCAAATGCTTGGCCCGTTCGAAAAATCGAAGAAGTCGGGGATACGGATCGACCTATCCTTTGCTAGACCTTCTCGAGTCATGAGAAAAATCGCGACGGCATGCTTTTCTCTATTTTCGGCTCCTGGGACCTCACCGGACCTCGGGGCCGTCAAAAAACGACTCGGGATGAAAAAATTGTTCCGGAGAGACCTTTGGGGGTTCTAGTTTTACACAATCATGACGTCGGGGGCTTGGGGAGCCAGAAGTCCCAAAGTGGTGCGGCGGCCGAAGCGTCGCGTGAGTCAGTCGGCATGCAGGGCGGCCTCACGGTTTTTGAGGGCTCGGGACGTTCTCCGAGGGCGTCTCAGGCGACCAGGGCCTCCGAGAGGTCCAGAGCGATGCGGTGACAGACCGTGCTTTGAGGATGTCGAGGGAGCCGCACGGTCTGCCACCACTTTGCAACCGCGGGCGCGGGCGCGACTACCGGCCGGGTCGGGCGGCTTACACTGCCGCAGCCGCGTCCTCGCTTTTCGTGCTCGCTCAACGCGTTCGGCGCAGCGATCCCAAGTCCCCCTCCCCCTCGTCGTCGTCCTCCTCATCCTCGTTCCTCCTCGTCCTCCTCTTCCTCCTCCTCCTCTTCCTCCTCCTCCTCATAGCCCCTTTGGCCCAGCTCGTGCGGGGTTGGACGTTGGACCGGCGCGCGCGCGCTCTCTCTTCTTCGGCGCCCTCCCTCCCCTCGGGCACCCTCTGCGCGCCGCATGGTGGTCCTCGCTCGCATCGCGTTCCTGAGGGCGCAGCTACACCCAAGCTGCAAGCTGGTGGTTGACTCTGCTACGCATGAGCTGACTTGGGTGCAGAAGTTGGCCGTGTTGATATATCATGGTGTGCAGGTGCGTGCTGGCGCACAACAACCATTCGCGTCCTCCGCACTGGACTGGCTCGAGGGGATCACGAGGGTGAAGCGAATGGCTGATAGAGGGAATCGGCGTTTTGAGAGGCACTCGAGAGTTGACTTCTGATCACGGAGTGGCATGCGCATCATCTTAGTCAGGAACACGGTGATCGTCGATATGGAGGTGATGACGACGACGGGCACTATGAACAAGATCCTGGACCACGCTCTGGGCGGCGACGTCGTGGCCTCAGTGGTGCACGCGCAGGCGATGGGGCTGAGCCTTGGAACGGAGGAAACGACCCGTGGTCTACAGGCGGCGGAGCCCCCATGGCGAAGGCACCTCAGCACCATGGCTTGTTTCCAGGGATGCCGACATTCCCAACCTTCCCGCACAACACGGGCGCAGAGGATTTTGTGCCACAGCTGATCCAACTTGAGATGGGGAAGGCTGTGCTGTCTGCACTGTGCCATAATGTAGGACCAGCGGCGGAGGTCAATCCTGAGCCCGAAGTACAGGTTCCTGGAGCTACAGCTGTTGAGGAGATCCAACTCATGGTTGCTGAAGTTGGTTGGGAGCAAGAATGGGATCTCTACGAAGTCATCGAATCTTGCGCTAGAGTAGATGCTCAAATTTCTTCCCTGCATGGCGAGATGGTGCTGATCACGGGGTCGCATAAGTATGATAAGTCAATGGCTAACTTATGGTATCTGTATTGCCGATTCGCATTGCATGCCAGAGGTCCGACACATTCCATCGAACCTTCTGCGACTACCCACGCCTGATGAAAATCTGCTGAAGATGTTCCTCTACGCCTTGAGGGGGATAACGCGCATGGTGCTTTCCATGGTGGCGTTGCTCCTTGTCCTGGTGCGCTCCATGGTGTCGCGTGGTGCGCGAGATCTGTTTCAAGAATCGAGGCGCCGAGCCTGAGGACGATGACGAGATACTGATGTCGTTAGAGGGGTGACATCGTTCTGTGTGGCCGTTGGACCTGTTGTTATGTCGCTACGTGGTGGTGGCCGAGGCGGAGTACATCGGTCGAGTCGGGCTGGTGGTATCTGTCTTCCAGGGTGTTGTCCTCATGCTCAGTCTACCTTGACGCGGGGAGCCTGCGCGAGTGATCGCGCATGATGTCCGTAAAATTGCCAATGTTTCTAGCACGAAGCAGTGGGATGGCATGTTGGTGCAAAAGTTCCACTGGATGCAGAGCGTGATGAACAGCAGTGACATACTTCAAACATGTTCGGCGGCCGGCATTGGTGGGAGTCGTGAGTGTTAGATAGAATACCGACGTGCTCCCTTTTCGGCATTTGGTTGGGGTCTGCGGTATTCTTCAAACAGGTTCATTTAGCGGCAGTGGTGCGGCCCTTGGTATTTGTCAAACATGTTCGGCACCCTGCAGTGGTGGAGGTGTCTTTATATGTTTCTTGACATATGTGTATTGCATTCATCTACTGGCATTGGTAAGGTTCCTGACATAGTGTAAACATATGTTCCGTCTGGGATTGGTGCGCTCTCTTGATACATTTCAAACCTCCTCAGCTACTGGCATTGGTGGGAGTCTGCAGATAGATTACCTGTGCTCCGCGTTCACGGCGGGACTGGTCTACCCCGTATGGGGCCCCCGATGCTCGTCGAGGCGGCGTCCTCCCCCCCAAAAAATGATCCTCCTCCTCGTCGTCCTCCTCCTGCTCCTCCTCTTCCTCCTCCTCTTTCTCCATGGGCGGGCCGAGCATCTCATGGCACCTGACGAGGGCATTGGGACTCAGATGTTATCGCAGGCCGTTTCTTTCTCCTCCGCCTCGTCGTCGTCCGCCTCGTCGTCGTCGCGCTCCTCCCCCGCGATCCTCTGCGCTCCGAAGGCGGCTTGGAGAGCAGACGTTTCCGCAGCCGGCTGATTTTTTTTCTACATTAGTATCTCTCTTTGGCCCGTTCTGGCATGGCGGAGTCCCCTTTCCCAAAGTGGTTCGTTTCGACAGGCCTCCAATTGCGTTCTTGGTTCGATTCGAAATGGTGTTAGCGAGAAGCGGCACGCGCTTGGGCCGCTCCTTCTGCCTCTTCCATCGAGCCTTTCCATTGTGTTATATTGTGTTGACGTGGCGGTCTAAGGGGCGAACAACAGTGAGCGCTGAGACCAGTTTCAGTGGTGGGGACCTTCAGTCATCTCGGGCCGCAGGTGCGCATTGCCTGTTGATCATGCGATAGGCGGTCACAGATTGCAGTGATCGGGGGATCACGTGACCGCCGTTCGCGTGATCGTTTCGGTTTGATCGCGCGATCGTCCGAGCTGGAATGCGCGATCGATCTTGGATCGGCGAGGTAGCCATCGTGGTCCAGGTTGCGACCAGATCACGTGATCGGGTGGTGTGATCGGCCGAGTGATCAACCAGACATTGAGCGCAGGTGGCGGCAGCGCGCGAGCGATCTGGAGTCAAAGTTGGGGATGCGGTGGCACTGGGATCGAGAATGCATTGGCCCCCGTTTCCGCCCCCGAGCCCCGCTTCTGCACAGTGGCGCGGGAGGGCGGCAGTAGCACGCCTGCGCGGGCGCACGCGGGGTGGGCGGAGACCCCGCGGCTTCTGGGGTAACGATAGGGAGTGCGGGGGGGGATAGGCTCAGGGGGGGACGCATCAACCCCTAATCGCCCACTCATCGCGGATAGGGGCCCCATTGCCCCACCCTGCAACCTTGCCCACGAACGTGCGGACTCGCCATTGCGGGCCTATCGCCAGCCTATCGGCGATGTATCGCCGATTACAGTTGGATGTTTCAACCCCAGAGCTGGTCCCTCCCGATCGTAGTCCCTCACGGATATGGATGTGTGGGGGGGGTGGGAGGCGCCGGGCGTTTGCGCCCACAGGGGCCACTCGACGGGACGGCAGCATTTCCTGGTCGTGCCTCGAGCTCGTCTTCGACGTTGCGGAACGGCAACGGAACATTGCAGGAACGCTTGCCTCGGCGGCCCGCCGACGGGAGAAGTGAGAGGGGGCAGGCCTTCTCAGAAGGCGGTGGGAATTCTCAGAAACCTTCTTGCCTTCTGAGGAGCCGCCCCAGCGAGGAGGAGCAGGAGGAGGAGGAGGAGGCCCAGCGAGAGCTTCTCAAGAGGCCGGAGGCCTTCTATAAGCCTTCTGGGAAGGCCCGCCGCCCGGCCCCTCGGCCGTCCCCAGGGGGGGCGCGTCGTCGATCACCGGTGCGTCGGCCGCGGGGCGGACGCGCAGAAACCCTCCCGTGCGGGCAGAGTGCCCGAGGCACCGCGCGCCCTGCGACCGCAGGGACGGCGGCACCATCGCGGCCTCTGGGCCAGGGAGTTACCCTCCTCCAGGGGAGAGCGGCGCAGACCCCCGGCGCTACGAGTCGTTCGGAGAGTCGACCCCCCAGAGGTCGCGGCCCATCCCGTGGGCCACTTGTTCATCCCGATTCGTTTTTCAACGCTCCCGAGGCCCAGCGAAGGCCCCCATTCGACCAAAAAACAAACGGCACCACCCCACCTACGATGTTGCGCTACGGCTCATCGGAGGTCGTAGCGTATACCACGTCAAAGCCACGCCGGACTTCCTGGTATCCGCTAAGCCTTGTGAAGCCGTAGATGGGGTGGTGTCGTTCGCTTTCTGGGCCACCCATGGGCCGGAGACAGCGTCAGCACCCTCCGTCGTGCTTCTCTCATGGCTCGACGGAGTCCTGGCGGGGGGGGAGAGCGAGGCTAAGCTGCCCGCGGCCGCGAGGGGCGCCCAGGGCCTCGGTCCCGGCGGGCTTCTCCCCCCCCCCCGGCCGGCGAACCTCCCCCCGGGCACCCGCCCGCCAGGCGCAGGGAGGAGCTGCAGGCCGCCACCGCCAGCGCCTCGGTCGCCACCGGCCCTTTTCGGGGGGGGCCTCGAGCCATCGTCGATCATCGGCTCTTTCGAACCTCGACCCATGACGCTGGAACCTCGACGTCCTCGAGCCATCATCGATCATCCACCCTCGAACCTCGACCGCCGACGATCCTCGACCTTCGACCGTGTAGCCCGACGCACGACCCTGTCTGACCTCGATCCTCGGGGGGGGGGGGGAAGGCCTCCGATGCCCTGGCTCTCTGGGCAGCTGAGGGCGGCGCAGGCGCTACTGTCAGCCCGTGGAATGGTACAGGGAGGATCCCCCTTGGGCCTCGCGTAATGGGAGGACGGTAGATGAGGGGGTCAGCGAGGGCTACAGAAAAGGAGCCGTTTAGGCCTCCAAAGAAGCCCTTTCGGGTCCAAAAGGGGGCCTCTGGGGCCCGAGAATTGCACCTTTTCTCCCCCCCTCCCGCTTTTTCGCACCCCCCATTCAGCGTTGCCCAACACTCGTCCTTGCAGGAGGGGGGACGGAAAAGCGATCCCAGCGGCGAAATAATGATAATGATGGTGTGATGATGCGGGTGATGAGGATGACGATGGGGATTATGATGTTGATGCTGGTGATGATGATGTTGTTGATGCTGATGCTGATGCTGATGCTGATGATGATGATGATGATGTTGATGATAAGACTGTTGATGATGATGGTGATGGTGACGATGGTGCTGATGATAATGCTGATGATGATGGCTATAGTAGTAGTAGCAGTAGTAGTAGTAGTAGCAGTAGTAGTAGTAGTAGTAGTGGTAGTGGTAGTGGTAGTGGTAGTAGTAGTAGTAGTAGTAGTAGTAGTAGTAGTAGTAGTAGTAGTAGTAGTAGTAGTAGTAGTGGTCGTCATCGTCGTAGTAGCAGTAGCAGTAGTAGTAGTAGTAGTAGTAGTAGTAGTAGTAGTAGTAGGAGTAGGAGTAGTAGTAGTAGTAGTAGTAGTAGTAGTAGTAGTAGTAGTAGTAGTAGTAGTAGTAGTAGTAGTAGTAGTAGTAGTAGTAGTAGTAGTAGTAGTAGTAGTAGTAGTAGTAGTAGTAGTAGTAGTAGTAGTAGTAGTAGTAGTAGTAGTAGTAGTAGTAGTAGTAGTAGTAGTAGTAGTAGTAGTAGTAGTAGTAGTAGTAGTAGTAGTAGTAGTAGTAGTAGTAGTAGTAGTAGTAGTAGTAGTAGTAGTAGTAGTAGTAGTAGTGTAGTAGTAGTAGTAGTAGTAGTAGTAGTAGTAGTAGTAGTAGTAGTAGTAGTAGTAGTAGTAGTAGTAGTAGTAGTAGTAGTAGTAGTAGTAGTAGTAGTAGTAGTAGTAGTAGTAGTAGTAGTAGTAGTAGTAGTAGTACGTAGTAGTAGTAGTAGTAGTAGTAGTAGTGTAGTAGTAGTGGTAGTAGGAGTAGCAGTAGCAGTAGTACGAATAGTAGTCGTAGTAGCCGTTGTATTATTATTATTAGTAGTAGTAGTAGTAGTAGTAGTAGTAGTAGTAGTAGTAGTAGTAGTAGTAGGAGTAGGAGTAGGAGTAGGAGTCAAGCTAGTCTCGAGCGCTAGTCGAGCGAGTCAAGCATGGCATGCCCAGTCCCACCCGCCCTCCCACAACAAAAGAAGCAAAGCTGGCACAACTGGGGGCCGAAGTCACACCGGCCAGCCGGTTTGGTACAGCTGATGCGGCCGCGATGGCGGTTGCCGACGGGAACTGGCGAGCGCGTGTTGAATGCCGCGCACGCATTGCCAGACGAGTCGAGAATGGCCCGGTACACCGCAGGAAGCCAGAGGTGGCCGGAGGAAGCCCGACGGTCTGACAGGACACCCCAAAGCATTTTTGTGAAAAAGCATTGGGTTTTTGATGTTTTTATGTTGAAATGCTTGCAAACACACGGTGTTCGGTAGGATTCTGACATGAACGCGCGAGTGTGCTCTTTGTGGCATTTTTTGCACAGGATTCGCGGCCTGGGTGCATGACAGAGCATCGCGAGTGCACCGCGCGATGACGTGAAATCGCTGGATTTGACCGAATTCTTAAGATTCCTATGGTTTTCCTATGATTTCAGCAAGAGAGCCCGGGCGGGAAATTTGTACAATTTTTGTGAAAAAGCATTGGGTTTTTGATGTTTTTATGTTGAAATGCTTGCAAAC